AACTTCCTGTTTTTCCCAGGTGGCGCTATGACTAAGGTTAAAAATGATCTCATGGATGTCTATGGGATGAGAAGGTCATGCTATATGAGAAATATGGAGCAGATTAGATAAAGTATGGTCAAGTTAAAACGACTTCAATTTTCATGCCAGATGGTAGATTTTTGATACACACATAGTTTGGAATTTCTTCCGGCAAAATCCAATTTTTAGAGCCTAGGTCCTCAAGATCACACTGCGCGAATTTGAAAAGAATCGGGTTTAATCGCTAGGAGGAGTTCGGTCTTTTGCAACTCTAAGAAAATAGGCCAAAAATAGGCCAAAAAGGCAGATTTTCTTTTTGCAGAACCTACTATTCTTCAAATATTCTCAAAAAATTAGGGTGTGAGAAAAAATAATAATAATAATAATAATAATTCCTTAAAATACAATAGGTTCCTCTACGACTAGTTGTTGCGAGGACCCTAATAATTCTTCGAAAGACAATAGGGCTTTCGCTTGACTTTCAGTCGGTTTAAGCCCTAATAACCTCAACGTGAGGTGCGCCATCCAGAGATTAGGCTCCTTCACCCGAACCAGGCTCGTGCAGAGCACCAGGGCGTGCTTTGTTAAAAGGGGGCGGAGTCTAACCCAGGTACCCAAGGTCACATTGCTATGTTGGGGTGGAGCTAATGCATCTGTAGCCAGTGAGGAAATGTCCCTCATGTGATACCGTAGGTTCAAGCCCCTCCCACTTCCTGGTTCACCAATTAGTATCGGTATAGTGGGTACACATCGCTGCATGCAGCCACGTGCCAGAATGCAACTTTTCCCCGCAAAACCGCTGATAAAACGTCTCTGGCCAAAGTCCAGGTGCACAAAGTGATTTTTTTCCTTCGCCTCAGCCTGCGCGCATTGATGCTGCTCCTCATGTTCGCCCCCCCGCTCCTCCTGGAACCCTTCCCTCTGGTGTCTGCTCGGTGGCTGGATGCTCTCCTGTGGGTGACCGAGACTTCCGGTCCCACCTTCATCAAGCATTGTCACTGGGCCAGCACCAGGCGGGAGAACTTCTCCCGGGAGTTCTTCGAGCGCTTCACGTGAAGGTGTTCCCGCACTCCTGGGCACACACCAAGCAGTGTGGTCCATCCAATCATCCGCAGGCAGGTGGAAATTGACATACTGCTGATGAAAGCGAGTAGGTGGCTCCTGCAATGCCTGCCCGGACTGAAGAGGCTCAGTCTGTGTGAGATAGTAGACGTTTGAGAAGCTCATGATCAAACAGGTGGAAATACTCAGACACCCCTTACCCCCCAACATATGGTCTACGATTTACATTGTGATTTGTCATCAATTAAAGGCACATAGAGGCTAGAGGGTAAGAAAAGTAAACAAACAATGTGGTATGCATGAAAAGAAATGAACTAATAGAGCGGAATTCCAATTTATTTTTCCCTTGATGTTTAAAGGTTTGTTTTTTTTCCAAGTAAAGCTGGAGAGTAATTTTGCCTCCTTCATGTTTGCCATCATGGTGCTGGAGGGTCTCGGCAGGTCGCTGGATCCCAACCTGGACATCCTGGATTTGGTCAATCCCCTGTGGCTAACGAAGAGTGCTTCACTGCTGTGACACTCACATGCATAAAACACACAGAGCGAGAGCTTAAACTCAGTGAACCACACACACCCGGCTCGAGTGACGCCGAGATCGAAAGGTGGCAGGTTCCTTTTTCAGAACGGCATGTAGCGGCATGGACCTGCCTCCTCATCAGGATGCAATTTCCTTCTTTCCTTCAGTTTGACTCAATGCCTCACCATTTTCCACCAACATAAATATTATTTATAGCAAGTGTATTTTCCCTCCTTATGTGATGAAAACATGTGTTTTGAATACGGCTAATACTACTACATTTTCCAACGTGGCTGGAGTCATCAGTGGCAAAGTGCACAGTCGTAAGTCAAGTCAAGTCATTTTATTTTGTATAGCCCAGAATCGCAAATTACAAATTTGCCTCAGAGGGCTTTACAGTCTGTACACATACGACATCCTCTGCCCCGAAACCCACCATCGGCACAGGAAAAACTCCCCAAAAAATGAAAAAAACCCTTACAAGAGGGAAAAAAGGGAAGAAACCTTAGGGAGAACGTCAGAGGAGGGATCCCACTCCCGGGATGGACAGACTACAATGGATGCCATGTGTACAGAATGAACAATGTATAATACATGCAATTCCTATGACAGAAATGATTCAAGTAATTGTGAGTAGTAAGCCAGGCGCACAGCAGGACCACTGCAGAGACAACCACCATCAGATAGAACCACCATCCACAGAATCCTGTGGGGAGGGAGAGCACAGAGATTTTAGGAGAGGGTAATGTCGGTTTATGAGTAAAGTAATATGATTAATATCTAAAATAATGATGATGATGATGATGATGGCAGCAGCAGGCGTCAGCATGGCCACGGTAGGTGTCAGGACCAGGGTCCCGAAGGAACCACGATCTATGGAGACCTGGTAGGGGCGAAAGCACAAAAAAAACTCCCGGAAAGAAGCTGAATTAGTCATGTGCATTAAAAGATACTCATGTACATGGGATTCACATATGGATGAGGAAGCGGCTGCATGCCACTACGTGCCGTTCTGAGATCAGTTGACGCCATTCTGAAAAAGGAACCTGCCACATTTCGATCTGGGCGAAACTGCCTGGTTCCTGTAAGTACGCAGATACCAATTGTATAGTGTTTACATAGTGAATTCTCTCCTTTTACCGCTGGGATGGATTGTTGTCAAGGGTACAAAATACAGCGGATCACTGACTCACTGTATTTTATCAGTGACCTTCTCCACTGCTTCCTTTGAGTGTTTTTATTTATAGATTCTTTTTTTTCTTAAAGGTTTAACATTTTAACCGCAGGAAAATCTTCCAGGCATTTCTATATAAAAAAATACTGTGAAAATCGCTAGTTGATGCTCCAAAGCAGTTGTTTTACTTTTAATTCAATTTTAATTGATCTTAGGATGTATTTTATCCACCGCGTTCTAGTGGGTTTTAAAGTATATTAAGCCGTACATTTCGTGTAAATCACAATGTGCTGTAACATTGTGAAGTTTTTGGCTACTTACAACTGACCCGTTTCTTTAAACCTTACATTAAAATAGTGGAAACACACTACCTATTTTTTCAAAAGAGAGTCTGTGTCAATTATTTATTTCTCTTGATGCTGTCAGTGACCGGCTGTGAATGTTATCACAACGGGTTGAATGTTGCAGCTTCAAAATAGAAAATTCACAACAATTACCATTTATTTACAATTTTATTAAATCTCTCAATGAAAAACACAGACAAGATACGCGATTCTGTTAATGTCGTCAGGAAGAACAGTAAGCATGGCTGAAAGAGTGAGATCAGGATGCTTGGGTGCAAAACAACTCATCACATACCCTTTATTGCAAAACTGTAGATATATTTTTTTAATCGCCATCAAGAGCCCAGACAGAGCAACACTGTTCAAGTAAGAAGGGAGGGGAGAAGTGTCAACTGTGTAAAAAACAAAATATTTCAATAATAATAATGACTCATTATTTAACAAAAGAAATAAAAACATCTCTAAAAGTCAAACACAATTACAATTACCTCAGTATAAGACGAGATTCTGCCACTGTCACAACAACCAGAGAAAAGTTATTTTCTTTTTTTAATGAATTAAATAGTTTAAAAAAATGTACTTATACTAGGGGTGTAACGATTCATTCACTGAATCGATTAATCGATTTATATCCCTGCGATCCAACTGAATTGATCTGTGCTCCGCAAATCGTCATTCCGGACGACATATATCGATTACAAATCGATTAAAATGGTACATAATCGATTGTATCGATACTTGGAAACTGCACATTGGATTTAGGTACAAAAACTGTATGGATGTGTGTTTGTTTGTCTGTTTTTTAGCACTTTAGACACGTTAAACGTTACTCGATTCAGTCTGCCTGTCTGTGACGTCATCAGTACGTAGCGGCAGCTGCGCGAAACTCGGAACAACAACAAAACACAGCGTGGAGGAGACGACTGCGAGCGAGACATTTACAAACCAACTTATCGATCCAGCGTGTGGAAACATTTTGGCTTTTGCAAACACGGAGGTGTTCTAAATAAGTCGGTCGCTGTTTGTGGAATATGTAAAGACAAATAAAAAACACGGAAACACGATGAATCTTTCCGGCCATCTACTCAGGCGCCGTGGGATTAAACAACACCGACAGTCAGGCGCCTCTAGCAGCATTACCGCTGCAGCAGCAGCAGCAGGTAACACCAGCTCTGCAGACACCTCAGGCCTCGCCAGCACCAAACTCAACATCACAGCAACAATTGCCAAGTTTATCTGTAAAGACATGCAACCTTACAATGAGGTTGAAAATCCGGGGTTCTGTGAATTGATCCAAACATTGTGTAATTATTGTGTAATGTTTACATTGAAAATGGTTGCACAATAAAAGGTTAATACATTTGCCATTAATTGTTGTTTGCCTGTTTATAATATAATAACATAATTAATTGAAACCTGATTTCCTTACAAGAAACAACAGGGATCTCAGAAACTTTGCCTGCACTGTCCAGTAAAGTTACTGGATTGAATCGAATCGAATCGTTCTAAATTAACCCAGATCGTCCATGAATCGAATCGGCAACCATGAATCGCGATTTGAATCGAATAGTTGTTAAAATGAATCGTTACACCCCTAACTTATAGTTATCTTTTTTCATTTATTGCAAAAAATAGGCAACTGGACTGTGATAATGCACGTGTTTGTGTGTCAGTGTGTATTTGTGTGTGTGTGTGTGTGTGTGTATTAGAGAAAGAGAAATAGAGAGAACTAGTGGGACGTCTCGGAGCGTTGGCACTGAGAGTGTGTGCAGTACTCTCACTCGGCCACCGGGTGGCACAGTTCAGTCTGAACATCCCTCCAGCGTAGCTATGGCTGCCCCCCCTCCCATCTGTATCACAAGAACACACGCTAACAACCACCTCAGGGTTTTGGTTTTTATTCTTTTTTTGGAATGATGCTTGTATGTTCAACCTTTGTCTACGGTCGCTTTTCTAATTCTCATGATCCTAGTGTTATGTACAAAGGTTTCAAATCCCTGAAGGGCATCTACAAAGACAAGTGCAGCCTCCATGTGACTGACCCCCCTTTCTGGGAGGGGTCAGTCACATGGCGGGGTTTTTTTTGTCCCTCATCTCGTACTTTTTCTGTCTGTTTTTGTCAGTGTGATGCTCCCTGGAGGACTGGCTCTCTCTAAAAATAAACAAATAGGGTTCTGTCTTTGAGTCCCTGGCTGTGTAAAGGTCACGGGCAGATGGAGCTCCTCGTAGCCTTTTGCTTCACGTTGTTTAAAAGATCAGCAGCTGTCAGATTAAAGGGACCGGGTGACACCTCAACGGCTGCGGAGCAGCATCCATCTTCAAATGGTCTTTTTTTCTGTGAAGATGTTTTTGAAAGACTACCGTGTTCCGCTCATCTTTATATTCCTTATGGGACAAGATGAGGGGCTTGGGGGTTATTTGGTAAGCGTGTAATGGACGCGAGGGATTGGGCAGGGGAGATAACTTCTCAATCAACTTCTCTGACTGTTTGTCTCCAGCTTCTCCGTGGGCTGCCTGCCACCAGGGGCTGATGTTTGGGCTAATTGTTGGGAAGGGAGGGGGTGGGGACACCGGGAGAAGAGGCCTTTGATGGTGGCTACGAGTTGAGCCACAGGTGGTTGAGACATTCGCCCGCCGAGGCCCTCTTCTCAGGCACCATCTCCAGCATGGGAAGCAGGAAATCCGTGAAGTGGCCAGCATCTTCATGCGACCAGCCGTACTTCTCCACCAGCACATCGAACAGCGACCACGGCTTCAGCTTGGTGATGTGACGGAGTTCACCTGCAGGGGAGAGGGGGGGTAAGGAACAGAGTCAATGATTGCAGTATAATGCAGTAATGCAGTGAGAAAGGAGAGTGGCTGGGTTTAGAGGGTATGTTCATCCAAATTGGGAAAAACATGATAAGACTGGTGACCTTTTTATTTTTTCTTCGATCTGATCCAGCAAGTAGCCAGAGTCGGATTATGCTTATTCTGTTTTTGCTATGTTGGAGCTGTTGTTGGAACTGGCTGTCACATCCCTTCATTATGATCAACACAGGTTCTGTGGCTGTTTACAAGTCAGTTCCACATTTGGTGTCTGATGTTGTAGATGTATAACAGGCATCCAATTAACACTTGTTTCATTTGTTTGTAACTCATTGTTACATCATCAGTCGGGACAAATGGACTCTCCGTCTCTCGGGAAATGCAGAATGCATTCAGAGGCGCTATGGACTTGTTGGCTTTGTTTCTCTCGTGGACTCTTTGGAAGAAGAAAAATATTGAATAACACCAGTCTTATTATTATTATTACTCATCAAAGCCATGCAGAAAGTTTTTTTGCTATTTGCTTATGAGATCCATCTCTAAAATGATTTGGCTTAAGTAGTCTCTATACTTTCGGAACCAAGATCACATTTTTAAGGTAAGATTTTGCTGTTGAATTTTCAAATGTAATTTATTTTAATAAACACAAACAAAACAATCTTACATGGCTTGATTCCCAAGGAGGTAAGTGGACTGATTTGGTTATTTGGGTGAATTAACTCATTAATCTGATGTCATAACAGCACCTCTGTGTGTTACTGCTTAGTTTAGTGCTACCCAGTGAGGTACTGCAACGACGGAGGGAAAAGTTCTTGGCAGCAAATCATGAGAACAGATGTTAGAGTGATGGCCTAAAGTTGTTCAGTGGGAACCTCTCTTCCCCGTACACTGATTGGAGAACTGGGGGAAAAGGATCCTGACTTGTCTCATATTGTACTGATCTAGCACAGCGTTGAAGCACATGTTTTTGTATAAATGCTTGTCAGAAACCAGTGTTGTGTTTATCAATCATTTTGTTTCCAATCAATTTGTCTACTTTCTACACCGGAGTTTTAAACAGAAAGGCTGCGTGGCGGACCGGAGAGGCCGAGCAGGTCCGACTGGATTAACAGAGCGCCGTGGGATGAAAAGGAGAACATTGAGACATCAAGTGCAGGCTCAGACCTCAGATAGAAACAACATCAAAGGCAGAATATTCAGGTCTCAAGGTACATTATGAAGAGTATACGAGCAGAAAGGGAAGGAGATCTAAATGTTCCATATTAGGGGCCATATTATGAAAATTCCACTTTTTTAGTGCTTCTATACGTTAATTTGGGTATCTGGCATGTCTCCCAACACAAAAACGCTGGAAAAAAACAACTCACGCGCCTTGTTGTGGTGTGGTGTTGTGTTGTGGTGTCAGAAACGATATGCTTGAGTGCGTCAAATGGGATCACCACCAACGTCTACGTAGGTAGGCACTTTGCGCTCTCACAGGCACTCAAAACAGGTCAATCTGTGGGGAGGTGTTTTTGACAGTGTAAAAGGGTGCTGTTTGAAATTATTCTTGTGGTATTTTGACCAAAATATGTTACAAACATTTCATTGAAACCCCAAGGAACCATATCAACTTGTGGAAAAATGGGCATACGATGAGTCCTTTAAGAGAAAAATTAAAATAAATGAGAGCAGTACCAACACAGATCCAAACACCGGGCTCAAAGCAGAAGCAGGAGGACAAGACAGGAGATACAGGGAGCTACAGCCTCACTGTATGTAGGACTTAACGATCATAACTATTTCTAATATTACCGTATGAGATTTGAATGCAACAGTAGACTACGCCTTTGATCATAAAGTGTGTCGTGATTAATTACTTCACGGTTAATTTGATTGTTTTCACAAAATTCAACTGCCAGTAAGAAATCGAAATGGATCACATGGTATTTTGTGGTAATAGGATTTCTGAATATTTATATATATGTTTAGAAAAATAACCATCCTGCTGCATTCCAGTATCACCAATGAAAATCAATTAACTACAATTAATCAATGCTTAAACTATCTGAACTGTTTTTATTCCTCATATTGTATCCGTGCTATAAACTACAAACAGTTTGTTTACCTTTCTTGGGGAAAAAGTGTTTGCTCTACTAACCGGCAGCAAACACTGCGTGCGACCTTCACGAGGTGATCAAAGCTACGTGGTTTACCCACCACGACATACGTCACAGAAGGAATAGGCACGATTCATCATTACAGCATGCACACACACATCAATATAACTGGCTGCATGGGACTGACACACACTGCTGCCTTGGAGCCCCACATGGACACGCTGCTACTTCGACACCCTGAAGTGAGGAGGATTGCATAGGATTGTTCTCTTTTTTCTTTGCAGTCACAATCTCTATCGATGCATCCAATTATTACCAAAATTAAATCCAAAGCATCATAAGCATCACCAAGTTCATGGGGCGACTGTCCCCTAGTGTCCATGTATGTTCATTTCAGACATCGGTGTGTGCCAGTCCCACCAGCTCTGGCCAGCGCTACCTCTTCGGTTGAAGAACTCCCGAGAATACTTTCCGGAGAGCGCAAAGTGCCTCGGAATACAGCCCAGCAGCTCTATGATATGGGCTATATGGTCTATGGAGGAGAAAGGGGGGAGGAGGAGGGCGGTAAGAAGGAAAAGGAATGAGGGGGAAAAAAAGAGGGCGATGCAAAAGAGAGACAGGGTAGAGAAAAAGAAGGGCAAATTTAAATGAAAGAGAGGGAGAGATGAAAGTAAAATGTAAGAGGATTTTTTGTTGGTAGGAAAATAAAACAGGAACAGGAAGTGACAGGTAGAAGGATCGGTGAGGAATATAAAGAGACAGTCACCGACAGTGGAGAAGAGAAATCTGTGTTAGTGAGCTGTGCCTCCACAGCAGAGGTGACGACATTCAGTGGGAGTAAAGTGGCAACGGTAACACTTTACTTGAATGGGTGTTCATAAGACTGACATAACATTGTCATAACCATGATATGACAGCTGTCATGAATATCAATGAATACTTATGACAGTTGTCGTTAAGTGTCATTCGGTAAGTTTTGTCACGTTTGATGCAAAGGTGACTTTGTTTGAGATGTCCTTGTCAACCAAGTCAACAAAACCTGTCATAAACATGTCATAGCAGACCTGTCAAACTTAAGAAAAACGTTTGGCTTCATATCTTAGAGCGACATTAAACCGTCATATATGGATGGTTTTGACATTCGCTGTCATAAAACCATTACAATTGTGTCATGAATGTTGTCCTTTTCATTGAGATGTCGTTAAATGTAACTACACTGTTAAATGACTTCATAACTGTCACATTTCTCTCCTACAGTGATTTAATGATTTTAACTTTTCATTAAGATGTCACTGTGTGTAATTACATAGTCAAACCAGTTTATAACATTGTCACAACTGTTTTCTTTGAATTCAAGTAAAGTGAAACGATTTGAATGTTTTGTTAAAATGTCATTAAGTGTTATTACACTGTCAGATAATATAAATACCGTAACAAAAGCAACAGACAAGTCAAGAGATAGTGTTTCCTTTATGTGTTTCAACAAAAAACATTTTGTTGTTGTGCCACTCTATCATCTTAAGATGAAGCAGAAAAAACAAACTTGTAAAATGTATTTCTGTGTATTGTGTATATAAACAGATTAACCTTTTTAACAAAGTTTAACACCAAGTTTAAACAATTGTTTGACAAAATGTAAACAAGTGTGAACAAAATTAATATTCTTAAGTATATTTATACATTATTGGGAGGAGCTTTCCTTTTTTTTGCTGTGTTGGTTTCGGCCATCTCCTCGTTTATAGCCCCACGGCAATGCTCTGCAAGCACACAAATCTTCATTTGATCTCCATCACCTGTCAGCAGACCTTGGAACGCGTCCTAAAAAGTAATTGCGAGCTCAGCAATTATAGCTGTGCGTGCAATTGTGTTTCGATCAACATTCATTTTCGCAAAGGCTTTCTTCATGGATCCACACTTTTTGAAGATACGAAGGACATCCTTATAGCGACGGATCACTCCATCTGTTGTGGTTACTTAAGAACACAACAGAAAAACAAACAAAATAGGTCAGTTTTTTAGGCATGTACTGGCATTGTTGATTTGGCACCTTATAGGTTTTGTAGTACTAGCAGATGAGAAAGGATCCTACTTACTTTTGCATCCTTCTTCTAGGCTGGATATATTAGACTTCCCTATCTGACTCTGTGGCTAGCAATATCTGCCTTCACCAGCCTAGAAGGAGGATGCCCAGGAGGTAATGTCCTTTCTTACCTGCTTGTACAAAACATAACCAGCTTGGATAGAGGATGCACAGTGAACTTGGATGGTACAGTAAGTACATTTTTTTCAGAGGTTAGATATATAACAAAACTGGAGGAGATCATAGAATAACTTGAGGAGATCAAGAGAGCTATACAGAATGATTACTAAAATATACCATTAGCAAGACATCGATATAACATTATCTTTAGTCCCATGTAATTATTATTAACAAAGCCCATGGAAGTAGTTGCTTTTCATACAAATGTAATCCATAAAAGGTTAAGCAGCAGTCAACTTTAGGATTGTTATAAAGGTGATTATAAAGATGATCAATATCTCTGCTTACTTCTTGAACGGCTGTATGATTCAGGGAGTGTTTTTGACTTATTGGTCTTTTTCTTGGACTTCTTCCTTTTCTTTTTCTTCTCTTCTTCTTCTGAGGATGATAAGAGGCTGGAGTCTGAGGAGGGAGATGTCGATGTTGAAGTCGAAGATGAAGAAGGTTCCAGAGCAGTCTTGCCTGGGGGAAGCAAAGTGGGGGCTAGGTGGAGAAGCAGAGATGTTTTTAAGTAAACAAAGCAAAAAACTAGTATACTTTTTTTAAATGCAGAGTCACTTTTTTGAGAGCAGACAACTGCACGTGTGCAAGAAGAGGCTTTGTTATAGATGTGTGTGTGTGTGTGTGTGTGTGTGTGTGTGTGTGTGTGTGTGTGTGTGTGTGTGTGTGTAGCATACAGTGAGTGATGGCTCTACTCTATCTCAGTGCATAACATTTCTTCTACACAGCAATGCCATCACCAGAGACTTATCAGGTCATATCGGAAACATTTTGGTAGAACTTGGGAAAATAGTATTTCAGCTCAATTGGACATCTCAGTTGTAACAACAATGCAATCGTATATAATAATATATCCTTACACTCTGTGCCCAGCCTATTTCTATTTCTGGTTCCTCAAATAACTGGTACTGCATGGATGTTAATTTTAGTGCATTTTTACCTTTCCCAGAAGATGCAAGTGTGCTGGGGGCTTCCTTAATTTGGGCAAGTAGGACGTCCTTGTCAGCTTTCAGGTCCTTGTTGGCCTCCTCCAGGTAATTAATGCGCTCCTCAAGGTGTTCAATCTTCTGTCGGTCCATCTTGGTTTGTTCCTTCAGTTTGGCAAACTCCAATGCCCCTGTTGGAGACACTGCAACAGAGGAAGTACTTTAAGTGTATTATTGAGGTCAGTGAATAGTGGAGCTGTACTGGAGTGCAATATATTGATCTGTGTCCTTATATGTTAATCTAATTCATTAACATACATAAATTCATTGCACTGCAGTACACCAACAAAATTCCCAGTACTTTTGTGCATATTGTTTATTGATAAGATAGGCAAAAATGGACATATGTGTATATATGTGTATGTATAAATACGTATAAATACATTTCTAGCCCTACTGGTGAAAGTAGTAAAAAAAAAAGCATAAATAGGCTAGACTTACTTGTTTTCCTTGGGGAATATTTGATTATCTTTTTTTTCTTTGGCTGAATAGGGACCTCTTCAAATTCTTTTGCCTGGTCCTCTTCCACAGCTTGTAGCAGCTTAGGGCTAATTCCATACTAAGGCATAGTTATAGCTTAAGATATTTTATTTTCACATTTGAAGGTGTGCATTGCTGCTGTCAAGCGACTGGGGAAAAGATGGATGAGGATTGGTGGTTGTCATCGATTTGTTGTTATTGATGAGCAAATTTGCCCAAAGACGAAAGGTGGGATATATATTTCTATGCATCTGTACTATATTTAGATCAAGATTTTATGATGAGTAATATTTTATACTTTATCCGGCAGGGCATGTGGGAAGGACACATGTTAAAATGTAATACAGCCCAAACCTTATGAAATATTTGTGTTCTCTTATTTACTTTTAGTACCATCGTGGTCGATGTGGCAACACTTGGCACTGTGAACAGCAGTGGGTCTTGTTGAATGTTGGAGGTCGACAGGAAGTCCAGAAGACCCATTCTGAGACTCGTCAGGGATCTCAGAAGGAATACACTTATAGGTCATATTAGACGCCATGTCAGACCCAGAACATCCATCCTCAGTGAGGAATGGCGTGCCTACAAAAGGCAACCTGCCCGGTATGGGTATGATCATTATTCTGTCTGCCATAAAAACAACTTTGTGGACCGAGAGACTGGTGCTCATACTCAGCATATTGAGCGTGCATGGCAAAGCTACAAGCTGGAAGTATGGCGTCACAGAGGGAATCATACTCCTGAATCACTCAATCTTCATCTTAAGATGATAGAGTGACACAACTGGTTGGGTGTACGCCATTACAAAGGTGTGTTGGGCAGACTTTTCCATGAAAAAACAAGTAAAGTAAAAAAAAAAAATCTCTACAATGTCTGCTGGCATTTATGCATCTATGTCGTGTCAAACTCATTATATGTTTTCCTGAGCAGATCCTTGCTTGTGTTTTACAAACTGTCACTTTGGATGAACATCACAACCAAATGTTTTGTGTTGAAACACATAAAGGAAACACTATCTCTTGACTTGTCTGTGGCTTTTGTTATGGTATTTATATCATCTGACAGTGTAATAACACTTAATGACATTTTAACGAAACATTCAAATCGTTTCACTTTACTTGAATTCAAAGACACCAGTCGTGACACTGTTATAAACTGGTTTTACTATGTAATTACACACAATGACATCTTAATGAAAAGTTAAAATCATTAAATCACTGTAGGAGGGAAATGTGACAGTTATAAAGTAATTTAACAGTGTAGTTACACTTAACGACATCTCAATGAAAAGGACAACATTCATGACACAATTGTAATGGTTTTATCACAGCGAATGTCAAAACCATCCATATATGACGGTTTAATGTCGCTCTAAGATTTGAAGCCAAACGTTTTTCTTAAGTTTGACAGGTCTGCTATGACATGTTTATGACAGGTTTTGTTGTCTTGGTTTATGTCAAGTTGTCATAACAAGGACATCTCAGACAATGTCACATTTACATCTAACGTGACAAAACTTACCAAATGACACTTAACGACAACTGTCATAAGTATTCATTGATATTCATGACAGCTGTCATGTCATGGTTATGACAATGTTATGTCATATGTATGTAAAGTGTTACCATTGCATGCATACACAATCAGAATTGACTCAACCGGAAACCGACGATAGATTTTAAATTTGGCCTCAATAATCGGAGTTCAAAAGGTGTAAATCAGCATGTCGAGGTAAAAGTGGCACTAGCTCATGGCATGTTGTGCACTGTGCGCAACATGCTAAATGAGGTTAACTGTGTGGCACATGCAACATGATTAGATGCTCAAAGATCACAGAGAGATGGAAGACAAAGAGGTGAGGATGATGTTGCAATTAAAAGAGCTGTGTGGCTTGATAGAGTAACATGTGAGCCGATACACATATTCTCACAGGATATGGAGTAGCTGGGTGATGATGCGCTCATGCTTTAGTTACTAACTGTTGAACTGATCTGTTATGCTGCACATGTCTAGCCATGAAGCACGATGCCAGGAGTTGTTTGAGTAGGCTGAAGATGAGAGGAAGCATACCAGCAGAATGAGAGGACAGGGTTCACAGCTGACAGTGGATTGGGGGTTTTGGGAGGAGGGGTGGCAATAGTTTAAACTTCTCTCAGTGTGGCCATCTCTTACTTACAAGACAACTGTTACTGATTTATCGCAGTTGTTGTGCATTGCTCAGGTGCTTAGATCGAAATAATGGCCCCCTTTGATACCGACCACATGCTCACTAAACATACCTAGAATTCCTCCTACTGTACAATCAACATTGTGTATGGCATTACATTTTTTTTCTCTAGACTACTGAAATGCGATACACAATGTTTGGTGGCTACAACTATTTTGTACTTAAAGGCAGCTATTTACTTACTATTTATAATTTTGCTGGTAACCGCATTATAAAAGCAATTAGGTACTTGAGGCAGTATTTTATCTTTAATAATGTAACGGTTCGTGGGTTGCCAACGCCCCCGAACTGTTACATTGTCAGACGATAAAGTACAGCCTCTCGTACCTTATTGCTTTAATATAATTACCTTTGAGTTAATGATAAAGAAACAACCTTAACCACAAGTCGTAGGAGAGCATCAATGCATTTGAACAACGAAGGTATTTAGATGTTTCAAATGCGGTTAAATAAAGCACTGACACAAATGTTGATATAAAAATATATTAAACTGATTACATTTTCATTACTGTGCTACATTGAACATTTTCCATCACCAGAAGCTCATTTTTATCTTCAAGTCAATATCTAGAAAATATTGTAGATTGTAGAATTATTTCAGAATTTTCCTTTTTTTGCGACATAAAGATCTAAATACTCACCCTCATCACGGGAGTAGTCCTCTCCAGAGTGGGGCTCAAACAAGTAATCTCCTGTAGCAAGCTCAAAAGTCTGCAAAGGACCAAATACAGTTTACTGCCCTCAGGGCCATAGTGTTTACATTTATGTGCGTAAACTAGTGTAAGTACACTCTAAACCCGGAATTTTTTTTGAGTGATCATTACTTATTTTACATGTTTTGCAAAACAACTGTGTCATTACTAAATCTATTTAGTTGCTTTGCACTAATGTAGCTATTGAAGTATTGAATGCACTGATGATGTTTAGCAGAGTTTATTAAATGCCCCACCAGAGAGGAGAACACGCTGGATCACTGTTACACGACAGTAAGCAGGGCTTATCGCGCCGTCCCTCGTGCTGCACTGGGACACTCTGACCATGTCATGGTCCATCTGATTCCTGCATACAGACAGAAACTAAAGCTCTGTAAACCTGTGGTGAGGGAATTCAAGAACTGGACCAGTGAGGCGCTGGAGGATCTTCGGGCGTGCTTTGACCGCACAGACTGGGATGGTTTCAGGACGGCTACTGACAGCCTGGATAGGTTCACACAGGCTGTAAATTCTTACATCGGCATCTGTAAGGACAGCTGTGTACCATCATGCACCAGGGTGAGTTACAACAACGACAAACCCTGGTTCACAGCGGAACTCGGAGAACTACGTCTGCAGAAGGATCAGGCATTTAGGAGTAGGGACAAAGACTTGTACAGAGTCAAAATACAAGTTTAGCAAACGGTGAGAGAGGCTAAACGACTGTACTCTGAGAAACTCCAACAACAGTTCTCAGCAAGTGACTCTGCTTCGGTTTGGAGAGGCCTCAAACACCTCACTAACTACAAGCCAAAAAAAAAACACTCCATGAATGAGCTCCGCCTGGCAGACGAGCTGAATGAGTTCTACTGCAGCTTTTATAGACAATGTCCTTATCCCATCCCCCACAGCTCCACCAACCTGCCCCAGTCCCCTTCCCCTCCCTCCCCCAGCCCATCAGGGGCTCACGCCTCTACATCTATATCACCTTCCTCTCGCCCACCAACAACGACCCTCTCTATTCTGGAGAGAGACGTTATCCAGCTCTTTAAAAGACAAAACCCCCGTAAGGCCCGGACTCCGTTTCCCCTCACACCCTGAAGCATTGTGCTGACCAGCTGTCTCCGTTTTTCACTGACATCTTCAACACCTCCCCGGAGACATGCCACGTACCAGCCTGCTTCAAGGCCTCCACCATCATCCCTGTTCCCAAGAAGCCCAGGATCACAGGACTCAATGACTACAGGCCCGTCGCCCTGACCTCTGTAGTTAAGAAGTCTTTTGAACGGCAAGTCCTGTCCCACCTGAAGACCCTCACTGACCCCTCCTGGACCCCCTGCAGTTCGGCTACAGAGCCAACAGGTCTGTGGACGATGCTGTCAACATGGCCCTCCACTACATCCTCCAGCATCTGGACTCCCCAGGATCCTATTTGTGGACTTCAGCTCTGCCTTCAACACCATCATCCCGTCTCTGCTGCAGGACAAACTCTCTCAGCTACACGTGCCCGACTCCACCTGCAAGTGGATCACAGACTTCCTGTCTGACAGGAAGCAGCACGTGAAGCTGGGGAAACATGTCTCAGCCTCTCGGACCATCAGCACCGGTTCCCCCCAAGACTGCGTTCTTTCCCCTCTGCTCTTCTCCTTGTGCACCAACAGCTGCTCCTCCAGTCACCAGTCCGTCAAGCTCCGGAAGTTTGCGGATGACACCACTCTCATCAGACTGATCTCTGGTGGGGATGAGTCCGCCTACAGTTGGGAGTCTGACCATCTGGTGTCGTGGTGTAGCCAGGACAACCTGGAGCTCAATGCTCTAAAGACAGTGGAGATGGTTGTGGATTTCCAGAGAAAGAGAGCCCCACCTTTCCCCATCACTCTGTGCGACTCCCCCGTCACTATTGTGAATTCCTTCCGTTTTATGGGCTCCATCATCACCTAGGACATCAGCTCCGTCACCAAGAAGGCCCAGGAGAGGTTGTTCTTCCTGAGGCAGCGGAAGAAATTCAACCTGCCAAAGACGATGATGGTGCACTTTTACACGGCCATCATCGAGGCCATCATCGAGTCCATCCTCCATCACCGTCTGGTACGCTGCAGCCACAGCCAAGGACAAGGGCAGGCTGCAGCGTGTCATCCGCTCTGCAGAGAGGGTGATCGGCTGCATTATGCCGTCAACTGCAGGACTTGTTCGCTTCTAGGACCCTGAAGCGAGCCAAAAAGATTGTAGCCAACCCCTCTCACCCCAGAAAAAAACTGTTTGTGCCCCTTCCATCTGGTAGGAGGCTGAGGTCCATCAGGCCACACTAACAGTTTCTTCCCGTTAGCAGTCGGGCTCATCAACAGAGCCCGGTCCCCCACTGACTGACTCTGACATTCCACCGGTCACTTTCTTTCATTCTGCACACGTCACTTTCACTTGATAACTTTCTGTAAGGGGGAGGAGTCTGTTTGAATTTCACTCAATTTAAAAGCTGGTCATTAATTGACGCTGACGTTAGAGCCGCGTGCAGCGCAGTGACGAGTCCAAAGGCTCCGCTATTCCGCCGTCCGACTGCGTTAACGGCTTTTGACGAAGCTGCAGGATTTTGGAAACAACTTTACACCAAGTGTAATGGTGAGTCTGTACATGTGCTGTGTTTTAAGCTAGCTAACGATAAGCTAACGTTACGTTAGCTTTTCAAAATGGTGTTTGGTTAGGTTGCACAGGAGTTATTTTTTTGATTTATAGCAGTAACTTAGTTAGATTCTCAAGGCACAAGGTCATTAGTTGGTTATCAGCTAGTAATAGAGGCTGGTTAACATTTTGCAGTGGAGCTAATGTTACTGTAATTGGGTTGTTGAACTGAAAGTTGAGCTAATAGTTTTCTTCTTGTTTTTACAGGTTTGTGAAGATGCAGTGGAAGTGTAAATATTGTGAGTTCCTAACTGGGAAAAGAGGTTACCTGTTAAAACATGAGAGCTACAGTAGAACTGTACTGTTTCCTTGTTGTTTGTGCACATTTAACTATATTAATTAATTAAGTTCACTTAGACCACCAGAAAACACAGGATGCACAACTGTCTGAAACTGCACAAGTCACTTTTCACTGCCACTTGTGTGATTTTCCGCTTTTTTCACTCACTTGCGCAGTACACATTTAAAAGTTCATCACAGAGTCCACTGTTCATATAAAGGATGTAACTTGTATACTAATGTGTACTCTGCTTTTACTAGACATATAAGTAAGCTGCACAGAACAAACAATTGGAGGTAGCAAAAGTCTGCAAGGGACCAAATACAGTTTACTGCCCTCAGGGCCATGTTCAAAACAGAAATAGCCTCTGGTAGTGGAACTTCTGAGGAAGAACATGTACCTCTTAGTCTGAACAAGTGATACTGGAGCAGCAGGAATTTACCGAAAGCCTTGATTGACACAGTCTTCGGCTAATCGACATATTTCAATCTAAAAGGGGGCTCCCTTACTTTCTAATAATAATAATAATAATAATAATAATTTAGAACTGTTACCATTATTTGATGAACCCTGTGAGCATAGTTTTATAGAATAAAGTTCACACCTTCCTTCGGGTGTCTGATTCTCCTGTAACTATGCTACATTGATTAACATCATTGATAGTTATTTCATGAGGAATATAATAATTGTGGTTTTGCATTGTTATTATTTGTTAAGGACTCGGATGATGATGACTCATTCCGCAATATTGAGTTGGGATCCTCCTCGTTGAAAGAGAAGGTGCTGTGTGTCTTCCTACATCTCAGTCCAGTCTCATTGAAGATCATCGTTGAAGTTCTGATGGACATTCAAGAACTGCCAAGCTCTGTGTCTTCTGTTTGGACTTGCATATGTGCTGCATCTGAACTACCCCAAGTCTATGATGCTCAGATTCCAGTTCATCTAGCACAGGTTCTTCTCACGTTGGGCCACAGTGAACTAAAACCAAGGTTATAAACCTTGAAGAACCAGCTTACAATGTAAAAACTGTATGTCGGGTCTACTCTAAGAAGTCACGTCTGCGTTCAACTTTTCCATGGCGCAGCTGCAGCCAGGGGTGAATATAGGTCCGTACACAATCAAAATATATAAGGTGCTACCATTTAACAGGGTTTTCACATACAAGATGCTGCCATTTAACAGTGTTTTCACTGTGCCTCTTCTGGTCTGAGGAAAATGTTTACATTATTGTGCTAGTCTATTGTAATTATGATTGTAGTTCTGTTGTTTACATATTTGTACATAACGTTTAGATTTTATATGCAGAGACACCTCAACCGTGGGGTCTGCTCAGCCGTGGGCATTAATAGCTCCTCCTACTTATTTTAAATTATGGCTATGTTGAATGAGGAGATGGGACTGTTCAACCACTTGTGTTTGCAATGTTTTGAAAGAATAAAACACATTGAAATGTTAAAATGTAATGTTGAATTTGTTTCCTTCTATACAATTTTCTTGAGACAATGCATAGTATAATGAATTTAAGTAAACATTACTTAAAAACTAATGATCTTAAGTAGCAATACATAATGTTATATTAGTAATTTGTTTGTATATGCTTATGTATGTTGAACTGATAATAGTTATTTCATTAAACTTAATGAAAAAAATGTTTAATGTACTAATGATTTTGAGTAATGATTACTAATGTGGGCTTACATACATACATACTTACATACTGTACATACCCACACTGTGGAACACTTTGCCGTTTTCTGTGCGGTCTGGGACTAGCCTTTCTACTTTTAAAACTCGCCAAGGTAAACAAGACCCACTTGTTTACCTTGGCATTTGGCTGAGTTAAGTCACCTGTATTGGATCTTTTATTTGTTTGCCTTTTACTGTTTTTGCTTGTTTGTTGTTTTACTTTTGCTCGTATTGTTTATTGCTGCTGATTATTTTTATCCTGTAAAGCACTTTGGGTGGCCATTGGCTTTTAAAAGTGCTATATAAATAAAATTGACATTGACATATGTCTACAGCATCTATGTTAACACAACTTAACTTGTTTAGGTCCTCCATTTGTAAAAACTTAAATGGTTTGAGGCAATGGATTTCCATGCAATTTTCTAGTAAAGTCAACTAGTTTGGCCTAACAGTGTATAGTACTGTTATGGTTGTGTCCTCACCATGCAGGCAGTACTCCAGATGTCTGCAGGGGTGCTGTAACCAGCTCCTATCAGGACTTCAATGGAACGATACTGTCTAGTCTGGATGTCCTCTGTAAAATGCTTGTGCTGTATTCATGTGAGGAGAGGAGAAAGGAGAGAACAGAGGAAAGAATAACATGATAGATTAATGAAAAAATAACTTGCCTACAATGAATTATTGCATCCTAGTGTCTCATTAAGCTACGGCATCCACTTTATTACTTAAATACAGAATTAAACATGAATGAAATAAATGATTTTATAGCCCTCATTTATTTGTTTATTTTTTTTCCAATGCAAGACCTGTAGTAGATCGTAATGTTTATGTTGATGACCATTTGACCAAAAGCCTGAAAGCTTAAAATATTGCCGTCAAATCAAGTCATGTCAAATGTCAATCCCAATTGGAAAATTCCACAGAAATTTTAAGAGTGTGGCCCGTCCGTTACTTGACCCCCGCTGTATTGTGGCACCCGACCCCCACCGCCGCCGTCGTAATGTCGGCTAGACTTGCATTAAAAACTAACACAAAAGAAAAGCAGTTTGGCACGTGAGGTATTCTAATTTTTTACATCCAAAACGAAATGCCTTCATTCCGCATTCCCACTTACGCATTCCCACTGGGGTAACAGCCCTGCTTTAGGTAGAGTAAACAGGGACTTTATCCGGAACCAAGACAGATTGTACTCCATTTATTCCAATGGAGGTTTTTTGCTCAGTCGTTAACCCCCCCCCCCCCCCCCCTCCCACTCCCCTCCTGCCAATACTAGTGCAATGCTAGCTAGTGTCATGCTATTGCTCCCCCCGCCCTCCCGCCTATTGTCCCCCCCGTCCCCCGCCCCCGTCGCCACTGTAATGTCAGCTTCTCAAAGCTTTGCGATATCTACACGATCCTAATAGTGGACAGGGGGGCATTGACCCAATAAAGATCCACAGAAAATTTCGTGACAATCGAACATAGTGTGAAAATGGTGGAAAATCTAGTTAGGCGCATTTGCATACCATGATTTACTTTTTTGTAGAGCATGTCCAAGAGCACATGTGTGCCAAATTTCAAGTCAATCGGGTGTCGGGGGGAAAAACTGGCCTAGTGTTGTACTTTTCAACTTTCTAGGGGCGCTGTGGAGACTTTTCTTGTCTATTCTCCTATTCAGGTAATAGCACACGATTCCCAATCTGTACCGACAGTTTAAGACTATTTTGAGGCAAATCCTACCAACGGTGTGGGAGGAGATGCGTGCCAAACTTTGTACGGAAGGGAATAAGGCGAACTAGAAAATGCATTTCCTGCTGAAAATGCGTTGGAATGCAAAAAGCTGAAAGCTGAAATGAACTTCAGAAAATTGATGAAAATACAGAAGGTTAAAGGGAATTTTAATACATTTGCTGGAATTACAGATATAAGAAAAGCTTAAATTAATTTGAAATTGCTGAAAATACAGAAATGGAAGAAACGGAAAGGAATTTCTATAGATTTGCTGAAAATAAAGAAATAAAACAACTATAGAAGAAAGAATATCAAAATATTGATGAAATACAGACATCAGAAAAGCTGAAATTAACTTCAACAGATTTGCTGAAAATACACACTTGAGAAAAGCTTAAATAAATTACAAGAAATTGGTGGAAATACAGAACTGGAAGAATCTGAAATGGACTAAAAAAATACTGGAATAAAAAATACTAAAGAAATTTATAAATTTAAATATTTCTGAAAAATTCAGAAATGACAAAAGCTGAGTTGAGTCTTAAAAAAATATTTTTTGTAGTAATATTAGTAGTAATTGTAATTTTGGCAGTAATAATATTAGCATTAGAATAAGTAGTAGTTTTAGTATCAACAGCAGTAGAAATAATTAGATTATAATTATTAGAAATAATAGTGTTAGTAGTACTACTAGTTTTATCATCTGGAGTACTAAACTGTTAGTCATTGTAGTATTTGTAGTAAAATGAGTAGTAGTTGTGGTATTAATAGCAGTATAAATACTGGTAGGCAAGGCAAGGCAATTTTATTTGTATAGCGCTTTTCATACACAAGGCAGACTCAAAGTGCTTCACATCATAACATTTCATACAATAAAGTGAAATAAAATGCAGGAATTAAAAGACAATTAAAAACAGCAAATACAATTATAAATTAAAATCTTATTTAAATTGTTTAATTAAAGGCAGAGGTTAAAAGTGCAATGTAGGTAAACTTTTGCAGAAGGCGAAGCTGAACATAAAAGTTTTCAGTCTTGTTATAAACGTGGTCAGAGTTGGGGCAAGTCTTAAAGTTTATTCCAGCTGTTTGTTGCGTAGTAACTAAATGATGCTTTCCCATGATTTGTATTTACTCTGGGAATCACTAACAGATTGGTGTCAGAAGATCTTAGTGATCTTGAAGGCTTATGTAGTGGAAGCATATCAGTGATATACTTTGGCCCTAAACCATGTAGTGATTTATATGTGAGCAGCAGGATTTTGAAATTAATTCTCTGACATACTGGGAGCCAATGTAAGGATTTAAGAATTGGTGTAATGTGCTCACATTTTTTGGTCTTTGTTAGAACTCTAGCAGCAGCGTTCTGAACAAGCTGGAGCTGGAGACAGTTTTTTTTGGAAGACCATTACAATAGTTTAGCCTACTAGTACAGTGCATGTACAAGTGTTTCTAAGTCTTGAGCTGACATGAGCCCTCTAAGTCGTGCTACATTTTTGAGGTGGTAGAAGGCCGATTTTGTTACTGATTTGATGTGACTGTGTAAGTGTAAATCTGAATCCATAATTACCCCCAGATTTCTGGCTTTATTTGATGTTTTCAGGGACAGAGAGTGAAGGTGTTGGGTTACTTTAAACCTTTCTTTTTAAGCACCAAATACAATGATCTCAGTTTTGTCTTCATTTAGTTGTAGGAAATTTTGACACATCCAGTCTTTGATTTGCTCAATGCACTGGCACAGAAGATCTATGGGGCGATAGTCGTTTGGTGATAGCTAATACATAGATTTGAGTGTCATCAGCGTAGCAATGGTGGTAAATTTGATTTTTTTGCATGATTTGTCCTAATGGGAGCATGTAGATGTTGAATAAAGTCGTCCCTAAGATCGAACCTTGGGGGACTCCACACGTTACTTTGGTTGTTTCTGATACGAAGTCACCAATGGAAACAAAATAGTTCCTGTCTTGTAGATATGACCTGAACCAGCTTAAGACTGTGCCTGAGAGCCCCACCCAGTTTTCCAACCTGTCCAAAAGTATTGAGTGGTCGACAGTATCAAATGCAGCACTGAGGTCTAATAGCATTAAAATTGAAGTTTTGCCAGAGTCTGTGTTAAGACGGATGTCATTTACAACTTTAATAAGGGCAGTCTCGGTGCTATGAAGAGGTCGAAATCCTGACTGGAAATTGTCGTGGCAGCCAGTTAAAGCCAGAAAGTGATTAAGTTGTTGTAGGACAACTTTCTCAATTATTTTACTTATGAAAGGTAGAATTGAAATTGGTCTGCAGTTGTTGATAATAGAGGCATCTAGGCTCCGCTTTTTTAGGAGAGGTTTAATAACTGCAGTTTTGAAAGCTTTTGGGAAATGGCCTATCTGAATAGAGTTATTAACTATTTGCAATACGTCTGTTGCTAGGCAGTCAAAAACATTCTTAAAGAAGTTGGTAGGTAGAGCATCAAGACAGCAGGTGGATGGTTTTAAATTTGTCACCGTTTCCACTAGAGTTTGAGAGTCTATGGCATTAAAGCTTGTCATCATTGCTGTGTTACTTTTGCCTAAATAGGGTGGTGATCCAACATTTTTGTTTGAGACATTAATGGCGCGTCGGATGCCTTCAATTTTATCAGTATAAAAGAACGCAAACTCATTGCATTTCTGTGTGGGTGGAATGGTGAGAAAAGGAGAGGGGTGGCAGGAGAGAAGAAGAAAGAAAGAGGAGGAGGAAGAAAGAGGGGAAGAATGGAAAGAGGAGAACAAAAGAGAGGAGGAGGAAGGAAGAAAGAGGGCAGGAATGAAAAAGAGGACGATAAAAAAAGAGGGTAAGAAAGGGAGAGGGGGGAAAGAGGGAGGGAGGAAGGTAGAGAGAGAGGGGGAGAAAGAAAGCGGAGGAAGAAAGAGGGGAGGAATAGAAAAGAGGAGAACGAAATAGAGGAGGAGGAAGGTAGAAAGAGGGGGAGAAAGAAAGCGGAGGAGGAAGAAATAGGGGAGGAATAGAAAAGAGGAGAACGAAAGAGAGGAGGAGGAAGGGAGAAAGAAAGATAGGGGAAGGGAGGGGGAGGAATGGAAAGAGAGGGTGAGGAAGGGTGGAATGGTGAGAAAAGGAGAGGGGGAAGAATGGAAGGATAAGAGAAGAAAGAAAGATGAGGAAGAAAGAGGGGAGGAGGAAGGAAGAGAAAGAAGGGGAGAAAGAAAGAGGCTGAGGAAGGGAGGGGGAAGAGAGGGAGGAATGGAAAGAGAGGGGGAGGAAGGGAGGGGGGGGGAAGAGAGGGAGGGAGGAAGGGAGAGAGGGGGAGGAATGGAAAAAGAGGAGGAAGTGAGAAAGGGGAGAAAGAAAGACGGGAAAGGAGGAGGAGGAAGAGTGGAATAGTGAGGAAGGGAGAGGGGGAAGAATGGAAAGAGTGGAGGAGAAAGAAAGAGAAGGAGGAAGAAAGAGGGGAGGAACAGAAAAGAGAGGAGGAAACAAACTAACCAACTGACAGACTGCAGCGTGTGTGCTGGTATCCACGGTAACGGCGCACCTGCTCAAAGGACAGAGACAGGACAGCGAGTTACACATAATCCACACCTCAAACAAGTGTCCTCTAGTGCAAAACTATAACACCTATCTAAAAGATAAGACGTTTGTGCGAGACCCAAGACTCTACCGAATGCAGGGAGTTTTTTTTATGTCTGTCCGGTAATAAATACGGCTCCTGTTGCAGTTTACAAAAGGTGTACCTTCTGGATTTTTTGAGAAATATGTCGCCAGATTTGTATTGGAGCCTATAGGGCTTTTAGCAGAGGTTGTGTGACTGTTGGTCTCCGTAGGCCAAAATTAAAGAACTCTGGGATTCTATGAACACATAATCCAATCAGCACAACCATGCCATCATTAATCCAAAGAAATGAAGCCTCAAAAGTGTATACTTTGGCTCTGAGGACAGAAGTTCCATATTTTTTTAACCAGATTCTGACGCTGCCCCACACTTTAGCCCTCGAGGTCTCCCTCTAAGAAACGCAATACACACTCATGTAAAACTGAGCGAAGAACGAGTGAATTATAATCAGTGATTATGAAAAATGTATAATAGATATCAACAAGCAGTTTTTTTTCATAAAATAGTTGAGACTTGTGTCAACATTTGAACGTTTAAATGGTGTCTGTAGCTGAAAGATTGGCAAAGCTGAAAAGTCTGAAAGTTGAAGAAGTTTAAGAGGATTTGAAAACAATCTCCATTGGAAAACCATGTTAAAATATTGCTGATTATTGATTTATATAAATTTAAGTATAAGAGGTAGAAAGATGAAAAGTCATAGAAGGAAAGCTGGAAAGGAGTTGAATATTTTAAGTTTTGAAGGGTTTTGATAGCTGAAAGTGTGAAGGAGTTGAAAGATGCCGCGGAAGCTCCAAGAGCACCTTGGACATGCTCAATCAGGGAAATTTTCGCACTTTTTTGAATATGTTAAAGGCCTCAAAACTGCGTAATAACAAGTGTAAGTGTAACAATAATAAGTGTAATAACTCTTCGGAAGACAATAGGGCTTGCAGTCGGCTTAAGCCCTAATAATTCTTCGAAACACAATAGGGCTTTCGCCCAACTTTCAGTCGGCTCAGGCCCTAATAATAATAATTCTTCGAAATACAATAGGTTCCTCTAGTACTAGTCGTAGCGAGGCCCCAAATAATTCCTTAAAATACAATAGGTTCCTCTCCGACTAGTCGTAGCAAGGACCCTAACAATACTTCCATGAAATATAATAGGTTCCTCTACGACTAGTCGTAGCGAGGACCCTAATAATAATTCCTTGAAATACAATAGGTTTCTCTACGACTAGTCGTAGCAAGGACCCTAATAAGTATGTGAGATTACAAGGAGTTTGGCTCAGCTTCGCTGGCCACATTCAGAAAATTCTAAAAGCCTAGCCTGCCTGTAGGTGCCTTTGCACGAAACAGCAAGCAGGCAAGTGAAGGCTAGCTAGAAAACTAAAGACATGACACATTTTCTCTAGTTGTTATAGCCACTTGTCAGCTGTTATCATCGCTCCCCCCCCCCCCCCCCCGTCGTAACGTCCGCGCCTTGCCCCCCGGCTGTCGGCTGTACTGTCCCCCCCTCAATTTTCTCTGGATGTTTTAGCCACTTGTCAGCAGTTAGGTCCTGTTGTTACTAGTGCAATGCTAGCTAGCCCCATGTTAGCATCATGCTACCGACAAACTATTTTGAGACAATTCTGATCAACGGTGCGGGAGGAGATGCGTGTTAAACTTTTGTACGGAAGAGAATAAGGCGCATTATAATAAATATGTGAGATTACAAGGAGTCTGGCTCAGCTTCGCCGGCCACACTCAATAATAAGCCTGAGAGATTACAAGGAGTTTGACTCAGCTTCGCCGGCCACACTCAATAATAAGGCAGAGAGATTACAAGGAGTTTGACTCAGCTTCGCTGGCCACACTCAACTACTGTGTCTTACCACCCAGCAGGCATTCCCAAGATCAGCGATCTTAACCCGGATAGACTCGGCGTTTCGCTGGTCGAGTGGGTTTAGCAGCAGATCAGCTGCTCTGGCTCTGACTGGAAGGGGAGGAAGTGGAAAAGAACCGGGTCAAAACATTCTATAAGTAAAGAGGACCAGGAGTTTACATACTATAATGTGCTAGAACAGAGATTCCCAGTGGTGGGCTGCGGAGGTACTGCAGGTGGGCCGCGAGAGGTCATTTACAATATATAAATAAAACGGCTGCTCTTGTCCGCCTGTCGTTATTCAACAAAAGACGCCGTCAAACAAAACAATGTCAAATGGGGCGCCCTCTTGTAATATTAAAGTAAATATACCGTGTTTTCCGCACTCCAAGGCGCACATAAAAGCCTTTCCTTTTCTCAAAAAACAACAGTACGCCTTATAATCCGGAGCGTTTTATATATGGATCAATTGGTTAATCGGTTGATCCATACTGATTGTACACGGCGCTCAAGGCGCTCTGCCAAACATGCTAAAGCTCGGCCTATGACAGCGAGATGCTGAGCGGGCGCTCAAAGCGTGAGATATGGAACTTGTTTCCTGGCGCGTCAGAGAAAGAAAGCTGTCGTTCTCGCCGAGCACTTGATGATGTTAAAGAGCGAGAGACGGTGCCCTTTTCTTTACAGTAGCTGAACCATCTTAACGAGGAAAATAAGTTATTCTAAAAGGATCCCTTGGCAGGCGGCGTGGCTGGAGAGTAGCCGAAGATTCAAGGCGTGGATGGCGAGGGGGGCGGCGGGAGCGGACACACCTCGCAGCATCGATCGGACCCTGAAAGCAGTCTCCACCGCCCCCCCATCGACCCGCCCCGACGTCAAACGTTTGACTGCAGTATCTTATGCGCATTATAATCCGATGCGCCCTATATATGAAAAGTGTTCTAAAATAGGTAATTCATTGAAGGTGCGCCTTATTGTGCGGAAAACACGGCACATGAGCTCCGGAGAAAATGGTTTACAAAACATACATTGTCGGTTAATACATTTTTAGTCGGTTAAATTCTTAAGGTCATTTAATCATCCCTAGTTTATGTTTTGATCAGAGTTGTGATTAAAGGTTTGATAGATAGATGGATACTTTATTGATCCCGAAGAGGGAAATTTTGGGTGGGCCGCAAAAGATTTTCAGATTTCAAAGTGGGCCGCGGCATTCTTGAGTTTGGGAACCTCTGTGCTAGAACAAGTAATCCACTCCTAACTGCTGATGACCTGTTTAAAGCTGTTTCACTGGCTTTTTTCTGGTTACGTTTTGGTTTAGCAACCTCTTTGAGTTCCAGAGATGGGATCATACAAGTGACCCGAGAGCGGGAAAGTGAGAGTCAAACTTTATAACAATAACCGCTGTGGGTGGATGAGAAAAGGTGTTGTTGGGTCATTAATAAAAACAGTAAGATACTGTATGTGGACAGCAGACAATAAAAAGTAGTTAAGCATTTAAATAATGAATTGAATACATTTAAAAAAGTGATATTAGATAAAAGTGTAACCGAAAAAATTGTATTAAAATAACTGACTTTTGATGGAGTCAGTACAATGCTGCAGGATCTGATGATTAGATGCGTGAATTAAAGCCTGTGGATAAGACCAGCTAAAATACACATATTGTCCAATGATATAAAATACTTGTAAATATCTTACAAGTGAAGCTTTTATGTATTTTAAAAGACCAAATAACTGAATTAGACTGGCAACACTGGTCCGCCTACATTCATGGTGGTCTCGTTTTTTTATACAGCCCAATTTAATTAATTCAGCTTGAAAAAAAATAAAAAAGTGGTAATAAAACCGGTAACGTCGATGGAACTTATCAATACAAAAGGGATCGCCCTGATGTCACTTGAAGGTGTGTAGACTAAATGCTGAGACTTTTTGCTTCGGTAGTTTCTTCCCATTTTTTGGGGTGTAAACATTATGTACAAAGAATCAAACATTTTGGATCCACTTAAACATTCCGAACATTCCTCAGATGTTCAATGAACAGACATTAGAAATTGTGTGAACCGTGACCGTTATTGTCAACCGATGACATTGAAGGAACACTTGCAGGTATACCTTTGGGTGTGCCTCCCGTGCTCGAGGAGGACATGGTACGACTGCGGTCAACGGCGGGGCTGTTGGGGGACGGGCCCGCCCCAATGTCTGCCGTTCTGACAGGAACAGGGTTCCCCGGCAAAGGATTCAGGGGCAATTCGGTAAAGAGAGGGAGAATGGCCCTGTGGCGGTCGCTGCCACCGTTGGTCAGCCCCGGGTCGCCCAGGTCGCCATTGTACATCTCATAGCCGGAGCTGAGAGTGTGGTCCCGGTCTGTGTAGCTGAGCTTGGACTCCACCAGAGGCCCGAGGAGTGTCTCGGGGTTGGGCAGGGGAGGCGCAGGGTTGCCGGGGTTTGCTTTGAGTCCCTCGGAACGTGTAAAAATGTGCCCGTTGATTTTGGGCGAATTGCTTCTGTTGTTCTGCAGTTTGACCGGGAAGGTGGTGTATGTGAGAAGTTCCGTTGTCGTGTAGTCGTCATCGTCTTCGTCGTCCTCCTCTTCCCCTTCCTGCTCCTTTGACTCCTTCTGCTCTACCACGGCCTCCTCTGTTTTGCTTTCACTCATTGGCTCCTCTTTCTTATTGTCCTCTTTTTTAGTGTTTTTCTCCTTCTTGTCCTCACCATCCTCCTCCTCCTCTTCTTCTTCCTTCCCTTCCTCCTCTACCTTCTCCCCTGCCGCTTCTTCATTCTCATCTTCTACACCTTTTAATTCCTCCTCCTCTTCCTTCGCTTCCTCCCTCTCCTCCCCCTCTTTGTCCTCTACCTTTTTTTGTAGTGGATCTACATTTCCTTCCTCTGTGATGGAATGACTGGGGCAATCTTTGTCTGTGGTAGGCGTGGGCATCTCCTCTTCCTCCTCTTCCTCCTCTTCGTCCTCCTCCTCTTCGGGGTCGTCATCTGAAATATTCGGCGCCTTGTTCTTCTCCTGGGGAGGCACCGCACCTAACATGGAGAGAGAGGAAGAGAATCGGTTAAGAGAGGAAGCCAGTGGGAAGATATATAAGAGACATAAACGCAATAAAAGGCAGTGTAGGCAGCGAGTAAAACAGAGAGGAGGCGGCAAACGAGAGAAATGTAGAATGAAAGAAACAGATGGCGAAGAGACAGAAGGTGGAGGAGGGAGACGAGGAAAGCCTTTTTTTGTGAATTAGCCACACATACTATAGGAGCAGCGTGGGCCTAGCGTTTGGAGCCACTCCCCCCAGTTCATTCACAGGTAGACTGCACATACTCAATGTGCGCACACTCACACACGCACACACACTTACACGCATGCACACACTCACACGTACTAACAATCCTAGTTCTTGGCCTGCTAAAAAAAGCTTCTTGATAGCCAGTCAAGCCATCTCTATCTCATTATTTAGTGTAGCTCTTTAATTCTCATCAGATAATGTATGTGACATTGTTGTGTTGTGTTGACATAAAGAACTTCTCTGAACACTTTTGATTGAGTTTAAGGTGACACTTATTCAGCTAAATAACACAGATATAAAAATAGCATCTGCTTCTCACGTCACCATAAATAATAAAACACATGTTAATCAGTTATCAAATGCATCTTACTGCATTCATCACCATAAAGACGGATGGCATTTGTTCCTGGTATCAGATTTTGGTAATGTTAGGGAATACTGCTTATTGTGCTATTATCATTACGCAATAAACTGTTTCATTGTCCTGTTTTAATTGCGTTAAAACAGGAAATGGTGGACTGAACTGTATTTTCTCCACCAAACTGAAAAGCAACTCAATATATGGGAGGAAAGTCCAAGACACACATTTGCAGACACTCATACGTTATCTTACGGACACATACATTCACCTGTGTAAGCTGTTTTAAACCTTGAGTCGACATACCCAGTTTGGTGTACAATGCCTTTTGCTACTACTGTTGTACTACTGACCGTTTTAACAAACAAGTGTCGACTCATCATGCTTACACTACCTCAATAAAAGGAAACTGCATGGGGTGTAAGTCTAGTCCAGTGGTTCTTAACCTAGGTTCGATCGAACCCCAGGGGTTCGGTGAGTCAGTCGCAGGGGTTCGGCGGAGGTCAAGACACACACCCGACTCATATGATTCGTGATGACACGCCCCGCTTGGCCATCATTGGCTGCAGGTGATCACGCAACATCGCTTGGCCTATCTGTGCTGCAGGGAATTTGGCACGCTCAGTAGTCGAATTGTGACTCTCGTGATGGTACGTCGTGTGATTTATTTCTTAATATTTTAATCCCGTCATACTAACTATGTCGAGCAAAAAAAGAAAGTGGTCGGACGAATATGTACAATATGGATTCACATGTATAACGGAACGTGATGGGAGTCAGCGTCCTAACTGCATGATTTGCAATGCCAAGTTGAGCATTTCTAGTCTAGCACCGGCAAAACTAAGAGAACACTTCCTTAAGCTGCATGGAGATGGACAATACAAGAACACAACGCTCGCTGAATTCAAGGTGAAGAGAGCCAGATTCGATGAAAAGGCTACTCTGCCTGTTCTCGGCTTTGTACCCATCAACAAACCAATCCTCACAGTATCGTACGAAGTTGCTTACCTGATCGCAAAGCAGGGCAAACCACACACCATTGGTGAAACACTCATAAAACCAGCTGTGTTGAAGATGGCGAATATCATGCTGGGAAAAGCGGCTGAAGTTAAGTTATCCCAAATTCCTCCTTCAAATGACACCATTAGCGACAGAATAGAGGACATGAGCAAAGACATCTTGGCTCAAGTAGTTGCAGATTTGATTTCAAGCCCGGCAAAATTCAGCCTTCAACTGGACGAGACCACAGACGTTTCCAATCTAAGCCAGCTTGCTGTATTTGTGCGCTATGTGAAAGACGACGTGATAAAGGAAGATTTTTTATTTTGTAAGCCTCTTACGACAACAACTAAGGCAGCCGATGTGAAGAAACTTGTGGATGACTTCTTCAAAGACAACAATCTTTCGTGGGATATGGTTTCTGCAGTTTGTTCGGACGGAGCTCCAGTCATGCTGGGAAGAAAGTCTGGTTTTGGTGCGCTAGTGAAAGCCGATGCACCACACATCATTGTTACTCATTGTATTCTGCACAGGCATGCGTTGGCAACAAAAACCTTGCCTCCAAAACTGGCAGAAGTATTAAAAATTGTAGTGGAATGCGTGAACTATGTGCGAAATAGTGCTCTGAGGCACCGCATCTTCAGTGAGCTGTGTAAAGAAATGAGCTCTGAATTCGAGGTACTTCTGTACCATTCTAACGTTCGGTGGTTATCCCAGGGACAGGTGCTGAATCGTCCTTTTGCCGTACGTGTGGAATTAGCACCAACATCGTCATGCAGATTGCTTAAAAAATTCTGAGTTCATTCTCATTTTAGCGTACATGGCTGATATCTTCGCAGCTCTCAATCATCTCAATCAACAGATGCAGGGCGGTGGAGTCAACATCATCGAAGCGGAAGAAAACCTGAAGGCTTTTCAAAAAAAGCTACCGTTATGGAAACGACGAACAGAGAACGATAACTTGGCAAACTTTCCCCTGCTGGACGACTGTGTAAGTAAGATCGAAGATGTATCTGGAATCGGAGACATTTCTGTACCCGCGGAACTGAAGCAAGCAATTACCACGCACTTAGATGAGCTTGCAAAGTCTCTCGACGGATACTTCCCTACAAGAGAGTCATATCCAGCATGGGTGAGACAGCCGTTCAGGTTTAGTGTTGAGACAACAGATGTCAATGATGAATTCCTCGATGAAATCATTAAAATTCAGCAGAGCCAGGTTCAACAGCAACTCTTCAGAACACCATTGCTCTCAACGTTTTGGTGTCAACAAATGGTAACGTACCCTGTTATTGCTAAGAAAGCTCTGGAGATTTTCATACCGTTTGTTACAACATATCTTTGCGAGCAATCCTTTTCGAGGATGCTGGACATAAAACGAAGAAAAGGAACAGACTTTGTTGTGAAAATGACATGAGAGTGGCACTTGCCAAGGTGAAGCCGCGCATTTCTGAACTGGTCTCTGAAAGGCAACAGCAGAAGTCACACTGATTTGCAGTAAATATTCATTATTATGTTTTTGTTTTTGTGTGAAAATCATGTTTTAATGGTTTTGTTCTTTGAACACTGATGTTGATGCACGGTTCATTTTGTGCACCAGTAAAATATATACCAATGTTTTGAATTGTATTTTTCCAATTAAGAAGGGTTCGGTGAATGCGCATATGAAACTGGTGGGGGTCAGTACCTCCAACGAGGTTAAGAACCACTGGTCAAGTCGGAGTTGGCTGTGATCGAGTGAAGAGTCTAGTACTCTAAGATTCTTGACTGGGCTCCCCTTGCAGCAAGTAAAACTTAGTAGACTAGTAGATTGAGTGCCATTGTTTCTCGTGCTGTGATTGTTCTCTGGTGTAATCAGCAGGGTTCGTGGTTTCTAACTACGACCTAACAGGTAAAGTGATCAGTAACTAAAGAACAGTAACTAACATGGGAAAAGTTGATATGACTCACATGTATAATTAGTCATCCTGACGGGCCTCTTCCTTTCCTTCTCCCCCCCTCTCTCTCTATCTCCTCCCTCCTCCTCGTCCTCCTCCCCATCCTCGTCGTCAACGTCCTCCTCGTCGCTCTCTCCCACAGCCATCTTGGGGCCCAGATGTGATGGCAGCGGTGGCTGCAGGGGTGAGGACCGGTCAATGTAATTTTCCCCTTTCTCTCCCCCGTATTTGGCTCTCTCCTCCTTCTTCTCCGCCTCCCTCTCCAGGGATTCGATCTCCAGCATGCGCCTCTCCAGCAGCTCTGCCTGCCGCTTCTGTTTCTTCTTCAGCTTCTTCTTCTTGTTCTTGGAGATCTTCCCCACCTGCGACAAAGAAACACAGGAGAGGGAGGAGAGAGAGGCAAAGACATCGATCAAAACAAGGTCTTCAAGGATTCAAAAGTGTGGATATTTATTGGGAAGGTGGGTTGGGATTTGTATGTAAAGTTCGAAAATCCTTCAACTCTACATTAATAACAAATGTTTTGATCACTGTCCAACAAATATTCTCTAACTGTTTAAATTTATTAATTGAGTGTGGCCAGCGAAGCTGAGCCAAACTCCTTGTAATCGCCCATACTTATTATTGTTGGAATGCATTAAGCATTCCAAGTATTGTTCTTCTATTCTTTATTTCGCCATCTTCTTCTTCTTCTATGACTATAGAGCTATGACTTTTCAGATTTCTACCTCTTAAGTTTGAATTTATATAAATCAATAATCATTAATATTTTAACATGGTTTTCCAATGAGATCGTTTTTCAAATCCTCTTAAACTTCTTCAACTTTCAGATTCTTCAGCTTTGCCAATCTTTCAGCTACAGACACCATTTAAACTTTCAAATGTTGACACAAGTCTCAACTATATTATGAAAAAACTGCTTGTTGATATCTATTCTACTTTTTTCATAATCATTGATTGTGTTTCACTAGTTCTTTGCGCCGTTTCTGAGTTTTACATGAGTGTGTATTGCGCTTCATATAGTGAGACCTGGAGATCTCAAGAGTGTGGGGCAGCGTCAGAATCTGGTTAAAAAAATATGGAACTTCTGTCCTTCCAGCCAAAGTATACACTTTTGAGGCTTCATTTCTTGATTAATGATGGCATGGTTGTGCTGATTGGATTATGTGTTCATGGAATCCCAGAGTTCTTTAGTTTTGGCTTCCGGAGTGTTAAAGTGACTTAACCTCTGCCAAAAGCCCCATAGGCTCCAATACAAATCTGGCGACATATTTCTCAAAACATCCAGAAGGTACACGTTTTGTAAACTTCGACAGGAGCCGTATTACCGGACAAACATAAAAGCCGCATCCATGCGTTCGGTGGAGTCCTGGGTCTCGTAAAAACGTCGTATTTTTTAGATTGCTGTTATAGTTTTGCTCTAAAGGACACTTGTTTGAGGTGTGGATTCTGTGTAACTCGCTGTCCTGTGTCTGCCCTTTTCAGCAGCTCGTTAATGAGCCCAGGTGCGCCGTTGCCGTGGATACTCACACACACATGCTGCAGTATCTCTGTCTGTGACTCACAGCTGCTCCTATTACCTGATTAATGGAGTCACATGACGCAGCTATGCTTTCTGTCAACAGACCAACATGATAAAGACACTCGCCCCCCCTCCCCCCTCCACCCTGACCTCTACTCACTCTTAATCATAGACAGTTAGTCTGTCTGTCTATTCCTCCTGCTCTCTCTCTCCCTCTATCTCTTCCTCACCACCTCTCCCTTCCTCACCCTCTCACCCTCCCTCTATCTACATCCCCCCACCCCACCCAATTCAATCATTTCAAAACAAATATTGTCAACCACTCAGGACCGTTCTTGTGCCTTCATCACGTCAAGTGTTGATAGCAAAAATAAATCACTTTAGATTTTGTGTGTGTGTTTATGTTTGTGTGTGTGTGTGCAATACTCTTTCATACTCACATCTGTTCTACTCACCGGTTTGAGCTGGGGGGCTGTGCTAACTGACAAACATAAAGAAAACAACAAGAGTCAGGCTTTAAAATGTTGTTTTATTCTCATGCTGGAGAACGTAGCTCATGACACCAATCCGAAGCTGGATAATGCGATTCAAAGGAGCTGCAGTATGGTGATGGATGGTGGATTTAATATATACTGTAAATATATGCGGTTTTGAAGTCATTCCCAAAGTCATTTTTGTTGGAGGAGAATTCATGCATAGTGTGTCTCTCAGGAATGTGACTTTTCAAGTGAGTCTGTGATCTAAGGCAGTCCAGGGTGAGATAAGGGTTCAAGCGATGGAACCCATATGTGCCATGACCAATTTTCTAAATGTTATTCATTGACTGGGTCCCATTAAGGGAGGGTCATGGTGTTTCCCCTATGTCGTCTGGTGCTTTTCCATACATTCCTCTTTCGAGGGGGGCTTACCTGTGCTGAAACAACACACACACCCCTAAAGTGTATAAAACCTCCTGTTCTCCCCCAGAAACTTGCTCAGATCTTCTACCTCCTCTGAGGGAGAAAGAACCTTCTGCCCCTTTTCAGTTGAATTGTAATCATTTGACTTCTGTCTGTACTTACGGCTTGTGTTGATGATTTCTGTATTCTTTATCATTTTTCTACATTCTAGTTAGTAATAAATACTTAATCACAAAGCGAGTTCAAGATACTTTTGATTTCGCACAAGGGCTAAATTTCCATCACAATTTTCAAGTGAAAATATTTCACATTTTACATAGGATGTGTCTCAATATGCAGGCAATGTGGTGCAGAAGTTCATTTTTAGGACACTGGATCTTTTAGTAGTCGATGTACTGCGGGTAGAGTGCAATACTGCTACACACCTTCACTCTTTTCTGAAACACATCTCAAATGTAGAATGACACTAGCTATAAAACATGGGATCTATTTTGCCTCTTCCATCCACACCATCCCTTGCGTTTTGACATGGCCTCACTTTGTTTGCGTAGAAATATAAGCAGCATAAGTGGTTAACCTATGACTCAAAAGACTCCGTCCGCTGACGCAAGCAATTAACAGCTCAAGTCGGGGTTCACCAAGAGGACGTGGGTTCATGTCGAGAAGCAAGAAGCACAAAAGGCGCCTCCGCAATCCTTCTTTCTTCACTGGGTACTTTCATATTAAGGATGGACAGGTTTTCATTAATAGATCAAACAAAAATCTGTGTGTAGCATTTTAGTTTATTAATTTACATTTACTTAAATCCTACTTCAGGCAGCATTCTCTATGGAGAATTATGCTGTTCTGTCATTTCTTGAAAATGAAGAAGGTGTGCGTCTTACCTGCTGATCTGGATGGCGGGAAGGCTCCAGCTTTCTGCCATTCGGTTGCCTCCATGGCCATACGCCTAACAAAGGCGTCGTCAACACACATCAGGATGTTCTCCGGCTTGATGTCCGTGTGGATGATCTTACATTTAGTGTGGAGGTAGTCCAGACCCTGCAGGACCTACAAACACACTCACATGCTCAAACTTTGTGCATTTCTACGCTCCCTCTTCGTCTTCATCTCCCTTCCTTTGATTCATTCTCTCTCTAGGAGCCAAATCAGCCACTTTCCTAATGCTCGTCATTCTCCAAGGACAGAGAGGAGAGGTTCTGGAGGCTTTTGAGATTGAATTGGGGAACTGTCTCATGTCATTTCTACTCATCTTCGGTTGGCTTCTTGGCAGCGGCTGAAACGGCTCGTAAGCTTCCCTCGCTCAATAGGGGGCTGAAGTGGAAATGCCTGACAGCACTGTGTCTTTGGATGGCAGTGGTACTGAAGAGTGAAGTGCACAGCAGCGTGCACAGTATTATTATTAGGGCTAAGAATTGGGTGAGAATTTCGCAGTCTGAGTCAGTCTTTTGCTCCATATCTATTAAGACTTCTTCATTCATTTTATTTCTTCCTTTCTTTACTCTCAAGTCAATATTTTACAGTCCGTCAATGAGACGTGTTCCTCTCCTCCTCTGAGGATCACTGGAGGTTTGAAGTAGCTCTGCTTCACAGAATTGGGAAAAAAAGTGCAGGGTTCTACTACCTACACAGCAAAAATTGTAGTGTTGATTGGAGTTAAATTCCCAGTGTAAATTATTCCGAGTGAATGGGTGTTGATTTGTGTGTTATTTTAACACTTACAGTGCAGAAAAAGCTCTGAAGGGGGCGTCATTCCAAGGAGTTCGGAGCATACACTTATTTTGAGTTACTTTCCACATCCGTTTTTTTCGCGCTCATTCATTGACGAGCAGGATTTGTCTTCACTTACCGTGGCAGTGAACTATGCTAAACGCCCAGAAGAAAGCTGTGTGGGATTGGGATATTCGTTTTAAAAGGTAAGAACATGTGGATTAATGGAATTTACTTGCTAGCTAGCTAACAAGTGATTTAGCATTTTTTCCTTCCCCAGCTCCTCCCCAACTGCACTTAACGTTCGAGGTAAAAATATACGTTGCGTGTTTAAATGTGATACAAGTGCTTAACATTGCATTTACTATGCTTCTATTGTTAAGTTCTGTGAGAGAACATTTTGAAACATTTTAAAATGTATAAATGTAATCTTTAACACTAAGTTAGTCGAGCACCTGTAAAACGGTAAAATTACGTTAGTGTGTTTTAATATAAAATGTGCTTAAGGTAAAATGAGCCGGCGCTGTTTCGCTAGGTCGTCTGACGGGGGGAGGCTACCGGCGCTGTTTCGCTAGGTCATCCGACGGGGGGAGGCTACCGGCGCTGTTTCGCTAGGTCGTCCGACTGGGACGCCGTAGTTAAGGCGGCAGGCTACAAAGTGCTGCGGGAAACGGTGGTGTTAGCTAGCTAGTACTTTGTGGCGTCGTCGTCAGGTTTAAGATGATTTGTGTACGCCCGCGTTTGTTTTTCGTCAGCAATGAAGGCCTGCGCCATTAAAATAGCAGATATACCGACTGCTGCAGCTTTATTTCTGCTGTGGAAGTCCTAGATATGTTGGGAAATTAAACAGCATCATGTCTGGATTAGTAACCTCATCTGGTGGAACGAACTAGCCTTCTCAAGTAACGGTAACTTTACCTGTGCGGTTCAGATTTAACTGTTTAGTTATTGCAATAAACTGATAAAAACTAAGCTAAAATACAAACATTGTGATGAAGATTTGTTAAACGTTTGAAATCATACAAAATCAGGTCCTTCCACAAGACAACAACCAAACAACTTTTTAAAATGTTCGTTCCTTAAATAGAGTTTAGGGCAATAGTGGATTTATACAAGTGGTGTGAACCCAAAATAACTAATTCCGCCGTTATTTACTTGTGAAATGGGTCTAAAGTAAGCCGAAACAGCAACATCGTGATACAGATTAAAAAGATAAAGTATCAGGTCTGTCTGCAAAATGACAAGCAAACAACTTTTAATAATGCTTGTTTTCTAAATAAAGTTCTAAAAAAGTTGCCAGGGCATCATGTTGCAAACAGAATATTTTGATTTTCTTTCTTTTCTTTTTCCTGCATATGATGAACAATCATCACTGTTGTTTGTGAAACATATGTTATCTCCTTGCAGGAGATTGAACCGTTTTTTTCCTTTTTTTCACTAGCTGCAGTTTCAGGATGTTGCTGAAGGTGAAATGCAATACTATCAAGAAGTACATCAAATTGCCCTCAGGCTTCACCTATTCAGAATTCATCAGGGAAGGTAAATCATTTGAAGGCAAAATGAAATATGTAGCCAATTTAACAACAAATCACAGCACAATATGATCTGTGGCAGAACTATTTAAATACTTTTGTATTCAACAGAGTATTACATTAATGACAGTTCGTAGTGAATGCGGCGCCTTCTTCTGCTATTTTTAATAATGTGTTTGACCCCTTTACCCGTACCTGTTCGAATCTTTTCCCGCAGATACTACAGGCCTCATGCTAGATCTGCTCTCTATCGTAACCTCTCCTCTCTCGCCTATCCCACCTGCTCCACACATGTCCAGCACCTCGTCACAGGAGGTCTCTGGAACTGCCAGTCAGCGACTCGCAAGGCTGACTTCATCTCCGGCTTCGCTATCCAGCAGTCACTCGACTTCCTCGCTCTCACCGAGACCTGGATCACACCTGAGAACACATCCACCCCAGCCGTTCTCTCCTCCACCTTCTCCTTCAGCCACACTCCCAGGCCCACTGGTAGGGGTGGTGGCACAGGTCTACTCATTTCACCCAAATGGAGCTTTTCTCTTTACCCTCTACCACCATCTCTTTCTACCAATCCAAAATTGAATCTTCATTTTCTAACCCCAAAAAACTCTTCTCGATCTTCTCCAATCTCCTCGAACCCCCTACCCCTCCTCCCCCCTCCCCCCTTCTTCCGGGAGACTTTGTCAACTACTTCACCAAGAAAATAGCTGACATACACTCCTCCTTCTCAAACCCACCTCCTACTTCTCGCGTCCCACCGACCTCACCTCTTTCGCCCTCACTTTCCTCTTTCACCGCCCTCTCTCCTAACCAAATTCTTACCCTAGTAACCTCTGCCCGTCTGACCACCTGCCCTCTTGACCCCATTCCATCACATCTTCTACAATCTATCGCGCCTGACCTTCTTCCGTTTCTCACCTGTCTCATCAACAACGCTCTGTTATCTGGCTGTTTTCCCAATTCTCTGAAGGAGGCAAGAGTCAACCCCCTCCTAAAGAAACCTAACCTCAACCCTTCTGAAGAAAACAACTACAGACCGGTCTCTCTTCTTCCCTTTTTGTCCAAAACCTTGAACGTGCTATCTTTAATCAACTCTCCTCTTATCTCCACTGTAACAACCTCCTTGACCCCAACCAGTCAGGTTTCAAGGCAGGCAACTCCACAGAGACTGCTCTCCTTGTTGTCTCAGAGCAACTCCACCCTGCTAGAGCCGCCTCTCTCTCCTCTGTCCTCATCCTTCTGGAACTCTCTGCTGCATTTGACACGGTCAACCACCAGATCCTTATTTCCTCCCTTCAGGAACTTGGTGTCACAGGCTCTGCTCTCTCCCTTCTCTCGTCCTACCTCGACGGCCGCACCTACCGGGTAACCTGGTGAGGATCTGTGTCGGAACCTTGTCCTCTTACTACTGGAGTTCCTCAGGCTTCCGTGCTGGGTCCCCTCCTGTTCTCGCTTTACACCAACTCTCTTGGCGCTGTCATTCGCTCGCATGGCTTCTCTTACCACAGCTATGCCGATGACACCCAACTAATTCTCTCCTTCCCTCACTCGGACACCCAGGTGGCGGCTCGGATCTCTGCCTGTCTAACTGACATCTCTCAGTGGATGTCCGCCCACCATCTGAAAATCAACCCCGACAAGAAAAGATTCGCTTACCCAGGACCTGACAGTCAACTTTGGAAACTCCGTGCTAACGCCCACTTTGACCGCTAAGAACCTCGGCGTCACACTCGACAGCCAACTCTCCCTGACTCCCAACATCACCGCGACAACGCGATCCTGTAGATACACGCTCTACAACATCAGGAGAATACATCCCCTTCTCGCTCAGAAGGCAGCGCAGGTACTGATTCAGGCGCTTGTCATCTCCCGCCTGGACTACTGCAACTCCCTCCTGGCTGGTCTCCCTGCCACCGCCATTCGACCTCTGCAGCTCATTCAGAATGCAGCAGCTCGACTGGTCTTCAACCTTCCGAAATTCTCCCACACTACTCCACTCCTCCGCTCTCTTCACTGGCTACCGGTGGCCGCCCGCATCCAGTTCAAAACAGTGGTGCTCACGTACCATGCTGTGAATGGATCGGGTCCAGCTTACATCCAGGACATGGTCAAACCCTACATCCCAACCCGCACTCTCCGCTCTGCATCTGCAAAACTACTCGTCCCTCCCTCACTGAGAGCAAAACACTCAACTAGATCTCGACTCTTTGCTGTCCTTGCGCCAAAATGGTGGAACGAGCTCTCTGAAGACACCAGGACCGCAGAGAGCCTTCACATCTTCCGCTGCAAACTAAAGACACACCTCTTCAGACTCTACCTCGACTAAAGCAGTGGTTCTTAACCTAGGTTCGATCGAACCCCAGGGGTTCGGTGAGTCAGTCGCAGGGGTTCGGCGGAGGTCAAGACACACACCGACTCATATGATTCGTGGTGACACGCCCCGCTTGGCCATCATTGGCTGCAGGTGATCACGCAACATCGCTTGGCCTATCTGTGCTGCAGGGAATTTGGCACGCTCAGTAGTCGATTTGTGACTGTCGTGATGGTACGTTGTGTGATTTCTTTCTTAATATTTTAATCCCTTCATACTAACTATGTCGAGCAAAAAAAGAAAATGGTCGGACGAATATGTACAATATGGATTCACATGTATAACGGAACGTGATGGGAGTCAGCGTCCTAACTGCATGATTTGCAATGCCAAGTTGAACAATTCTAGTCTAGCACCGGCAAAACTAAGAGAACACTTCCTTAAGCTGCATGGAGATGGACAATACAAGAACACAACGCTCGCTGAATTCAAGGTGAAGAGAGCCAGATTCGATGAAAAGGCTACTCTGCCTGTTCTCGGCTTTGTACCCATCAACAAACCGATCCTCACAGCATCGTACGAAGTTGCTTACCTGATCGCAAAGCAGGGCAAACCACACACCATTGGTGAAACACTCATAAAACCGATGTGAAGAAACTTGTGGATGACTTCTTCAAAGACAACAATCTTTCGTGGGATATGGTATCTGCAGTTTGTTCGGACGGAGCTACAGTCATGCTGGGAAGAAAGTCTGGTTTTGGTGCGCTAGTGAAAGCCGATGCACCACACATCATTGTTACTCATTGTATTCTGCACAGGCATGCGTTGGTAACAAAAACCTTGCCTCCAAAACTGGCAGAAGTATTAAAAATTGTAGTGGAATGCGTGAACTATGTGCGAAATAGTGCTCTGAGGCACCGCATCTTCAGTGAGCTGTGTAAAGAAATGAGCTCTGAATTCGAGGTACTTCTGTACCATTCTAACGTTCGGTGGTTATCCCAGGGACAGGTGCTGAATCGTCCTTTTGCCGTACGTGTGGAATTAGCACCAACATCGTCATGCAGATTGCTTAAAAAATTCTGAGTTCATTCTCATTTTAGCGTACATGGCTGATATCTTCGCAGCTCTCAATCATCTCAATCAACAGATGCAGGGCGGTGGAGTCAACATCATCGAAGCGGAAGAAAACCTGAAGGCTTTTCAAAAAAAGCTACCGTTATGGAAACGACGAACAGAGAACGATAACTTGGCAAACTTTCCCCTGCTGGACGACTGTGTAAGTAAGATCGAAGATGTATCTGGAATCGGAGACATTTCTGTACCCGCGGAACTGAAGCAAGCAATTACCACGCACTTAGATGAGCTTGCAAAGTCTCTCGACGGATACTTCCCTACAAGAGAGTCATATCCAGCATGGGTGAGACAGCCGTTCAGGTTTAGTGTTGAGACAACAGATGTCAATGATGAATTCCTCGATGAAATCATTAAAATTCAGCAGAGCCAGGTTCAACAGCAACTCTTCAGAACACCATTGCTCTCAACGTTTTGGTGTCAACAAATGGTAACGTACCCTGTTATTGCTAAGAAAGCTCTGGAGATTTTCATACCGTTTGTTACAACATATCTTTGCGAGCAATCCTTTTCGAGGATGCTGGACATAAAAACGAAGAAAAGGAACAGACTTTGTTGTGAAAATGACATGAGAGTGGCACTTGCCAAGGTGAAGCCGCGCATTTCTGAACTGGTCTCTGAAAGGCAACAGCAGAAGTCACACTGATTTGCAGTAAATATTCATTAATTATGTTTTTGTGTGAAAATCATGTTTTAATGGTTTTGTTCTTTGAACACTGATGTTGATGCACGATTCATTTTGTGCACCAGTAAAATATATACCTATGTTTTGAATTTTATTTTTCCAATTAAGAAGGGTTCGGTGAATGCGCATATGAAACTGGTGGGGGTCAGTACCTCCAACGAGGTTAAGAACCACTGGACTAAAGACTAACAAATTGTAGCACTTAAATTGTACTTGTAACGTCACTCATCTATAGCAAATTGTAAATTGGCTTATTTGAGGAAATTGCACTTTCTTGTTTCTTGTTCTCCTGAGTTTGTACCCTATGGTTGAATGCACTTATTGTACGTCGCTTTGGATAAAAGCGTCCGCTAAATGACATGTAATGTAATGTAGTGGAATCATCAACATTAGTTAGAACATGGTTGTACATGATTCTTTTTAGTTTAACAGAGTTAAGCAGGGTGATTTCAAATTTGCTCCAGGTGACTTAATCTGCTTACATTCCATCCTTTTTACAGTCAAAAACAAGTTTGGGCTTCCTGATGTAGCTCGACTGTACTTGACATTTTTGATGATACTGACACAGCAGTAGAGGAAGACATTCTACTAGAGCTGTTGGAGGCCAATCCTGTGCCTGACAGTACGTGACAGCATTTCCAATGAAGGTAGGTGTCATTAAGAAAACCAATGTTAATGGATAGGGCTATTTGGTGCACCTAACATTGACCTTTCTTTATGGAAGGAACATGGCAGTGGTCAAGGTTGGGTCAAATTTGTTACAGATTACTAAAAATATAATCTGAATACTTTAAGGTTACTTAAAATGTTTATACTTAAATGGATAAAGCCACATTAAGTTAAAATTCTCTCTTTTTAAAGACTTTTCTCCTCTAGATCATTCAACACAATCTTCCCTCACGGACACCATATCACTTCCTTCAAGTGACAGTGACCTTAGAGAACTGGGTATGACCACAGGCAGAAATAGATCCAGCAAAGAAGACATGAGCAGTTCTGCAACAAAGGCTTCCGTGTCAGAGGCGGCAAAGGAGGTAATTGAGAGCTGGAAACGTCTTATTTTGATTTACTATCAATTATAAGGTGTCACGTTTAAGCATTTGGTTCCAAACTCACTTTTTTATCAAAGAAAATGTTATTAATTTGCTCCCTTCGTAGATGTTTACCTTTCACAACACTTCTGTATTTTGTCATTCCTCTGAACTTTCACCCGTAGTCTATATAGACATATTGTGGTATGTTTTTTCTAATAGACTGAATTGAACACTGAAACTTATTTTCCCTTTTCCTGTTATGCGAGTAGATTGTAGAAAATGCCTTGCTTAAGAAGCCTGGAGGAGAGGATATTCTTGAGGAGTACAAGTCAGAAAATTCACTAATGCACCGCACTCGGAGACAGCTTGTCAACATATTGGCGAGTGATATGACTGAGAGACATGGGTAAGATTTAAAAAGGAATTACAAAGAAATATAATAAGACTGTAATCTTGTAATTATATAACTAATGTAATGATATAACTAACGTTTCTTGTACTAAAGAAATTATTAAAGATGGACTTTCTTCTCTCCATAGCAGGATTCCTTCCCGTCAGCAGAAGGAGAAGTATGCCCTGGGAATTATTACTCTTTCCCTCACTGAAGGATCCTTTTTCTCCAAAGGGCTATGTAAGTTTTTCAACCTTAAGAAAACACAGCAGCAGATTTACAGTAAAGGGCTTTGGCGTTGTAGTTTTCATTCTAAAATAACTACTGTTGTTTATAAAAGTGAAAATATTTCAGAATTCAACAATCATGATGGTGCTCTGACTTGAAATTACTTGGGTTATAAGGCTATTAAAAACAAAATCTGTTAAATAAGTAATTGTTCTTATGTTTCACAATGCTGTATTTTCACTCTATGTAAGATTGTTTTGTGATTATTTGTGTTTATTCATTTAAATGTAACAGGAGCATTTCTATGATGGGGAAAGAGGAACTGGATATTAAGCGTGGCGCCTCAAAACCATTTCCAGGACTTCAGCAAAACGGCCAGTCAAAGAAGTCTCAGTGCATCAAGCACAAGGACCAAAGCGCCAAAGATCAGCAACCACACTGCCTCAGCAGCTTGATGGAGATGCCTGCAGGGAGGCCGTTTCATTTCTTGTTCACTCCCCTGATGAAGCAAGTGTATTTCAGAAGATGAAGATGACGTTTCAACATCGTCAGGACCTAGTGCATGACCCACAAAGAAGCACAGATGTCTTCAAAACCTTTCCAAGCTTTTTAGATGTCAAAGGACTTGTGAGTTGTATATTTCTTTTATTTAAACCGAAGTCTTAAATATCCAGTGTTTTGCTGGATGTTAGCCATGAAAACACCTAATCATTCTTCTTCATTTATTTATTTATTTATTATAAATTATTGTCTTTTTCCAAAATCTTTATTCTGATTTACACTAGTTTAATATACCACACACTGATATCAAAAATCACTAAGCTCACCATTAACAATGCACTGGGTCCTGGGTTTCATACAGAATATATGCTTCTGTGTGTGTGTGATCAACAAGTGAATCAAGACATTTCCTCCTGCTGTTTGGTGCTGAAACAGCCTCCAAGATGCTTGAGAAGTGGGACAGTTCATTCAAGCTCAAGGTCATCAAAGAGGCCAAACAACTGACTCACTAAAAGCTGCTGAGAAACTTACAGAGAACGATGAAACGGGTAAACTACACAGCATGCATTGTTCATATTACGAATTTGTTAGCTATTTTCATCTTTTCCTATTAGACATTAATGCCTTGTTTTTCCTCCTGATTGGGACAGTGACATCGCTTCTATGCTGCTTCTTCTCCATCTCTTGCCACCCACAGCGGGAGGGAAGAGGACCAAAATAAGTCCAAGTGCTGCAGTGGAGAAAATGGTGCACTTTCATAAGGTACATTATATGCCTCATTTGTTAAAATTCCAGACAGTTTTTTTTTTTGTTATATGCACTTGCTAGCCATTTGTTGCTTTTAAATTGTGTTCCTTCCAAATAAATGGTATTGCAGGCCAGTATGTCCCAATTATTTGAGGACTGTTTTTCCAGTGAAGCAAATGTTCTCATTCACAGGGGCAGTTTACAAAATGTCTATTACATTTACATGGACCAGCAAGTACCAGATTCATCTGAAGGTGTACACATAATATTTTTTTTTCTTTTTAGTCATGCTGCTCCATCAATGAATATCTGCAGGAAAGGGAGAGTAAACAACCATACATCCTTGCCATTGGCCGAACCCAGAAGGCGATTGATACCTTCTACATCGCCGTTGACAAACAGCTCATCCTCTGCCAAGCCACCAGCTCGTTGGGTGCTTTTGATGAACTGTTTAAATCCCACTACGTGTTCAACTTGTCTTATGATGAGTCCCTGGTCCATTTCTACACTTTTCTGCAGACAACGGTCTACAACATTGATGTTACCACAACAGATGAGTCTCCAAGAGTTTGTGAGTTGCGGGCAAAACTTTTGAATGACATATGAATATGTTTAAATGTTTTGTATGTCAAGCAGTGCATGCTACCAGTCAGTGCCTAATAACTCATTTGAGAATCTGCCACAGTTTCTATCCAAGCACTAGGTTTAAGTTAGTTTGTGCACAAGATCATTGTAGGCGTCAGTTTTCAACATTTTCAGGTTTTAAAAAGCATTTAATTAGTGTGCACGATAAGGATTGTCAAAGTGGTGATGCAGAAACCTCAGAGTCATTTCAGGCGGATTTTCACAGTTTACAAAATAGTACAGAAGTTGGAACAGAAGCAACAAGTGTCGTGCAGAGCCCTGACACTGGGTATTTTGATAAAAATGGATCAGGTCAAAGTATAAAAGAAAACACAGAAGATATCTCTGCTACAATTATTGCCAAACTCCATGGTAGTGGAATGGCAAATAGTGTAGTTTCGTCAATTGTTAGTGATTTGGAAGAATTTGCTGGTGGTCTGCACTCCCAAGTTAAGCATGAAATACTGTCTGCCGTGCCAAAAGATAACCCTGTAAGATCTACATTGGAAAAGGGTTTTGACAATTTAGAAAACCCATTTGTGAGTTTTAATACTGAAACTAAAAGAATGAAGTATTTCAACAAAAAATGGGGAATTGTGGAGCTGCTGGGAAAAAATTTAGGAGTTAGATTTGATACAAGACGAAATAAAAGTACAGGTACTTATGATCAGGTCCCAGTGAAAGACACTTTAGTTTACATTCCAATTTTGGAAACTATTAAATGTATCTGTCGCAATTCTTATATTTGTGAACTACTTGCAAAACCATGTGTATCAAAAGACAGATATGAAGACTTTTGTTATTTTAAGTCACATCTATTGTTCTCAAAAACACAGAGTTCTTTACTAATTCAGCTTTACTATGATGACTTTGAGACTGCTAACCCACTAGTTTCAAAACGTGGTGTTCACAAAGTTGGTGCTCTTTATTTTGTCCTCTGAAATCTGCCTCCACAGTTAAACTCTGTATTGATGAACATTCATTTGGTGGCATTGTTTCACACAGAAGATGTGAAAAAATATGGCTTTGGTCCTATTTTACAGCCTCTAATTGATGACATCAAAATATTGGAGAGTGATGGCATTGATTTGCCTTTCTCATCTGAAAAGGTCTATGGCACTATATGTCAGATAACTGGGGACAACTTGGGGATGCATGGAATAATGGGTTTTACAGAGTCTTTCAGTGGACGTCACTTCTGTCGTTTGTGTTTGATTGAAAAAGAGGATGCTCAGAATGTTTACAAAGAGGATGACCCAAAGATAATCTTGCGTGGAAAAGACATTTTGGTCTAAAGAAGAATTCAACTCTTAACAGCCTACAGTACTTTCATGTTTGCTACAACTTTTCTTTGGACATAATGCATGACATACTTGAAGGGGTGGCTCAGTATGAGATAAAGTTACTGTTTGAATATCTCTCGGAAAATGTGTTGTCAAAACCTGGTCCTTTGTCACGAATCTATGCTTTTGACTATGGCTACTTGGAGCGCAAAAATCGTCCGACAAGGGTCAACTTGGACAGTATAGGCAATAATATAGGACTCAACTCTATTCAGACTCTTTGTCTGGTAAGAAACATTCCTTTGATTTTTGGTGACATTGTGCCAGAAGGAAACCAGAATTGGACTTTACTGTTGCTTTTACTGCAGATAATTAACATCATATTCTCTCCATCTGTTACACTAGGCATGACTGCATTTGAAGCATTTAATAATGGAACACCATGACTTGTTCAAACACTTGTATCCAGGTAGAAACCTGATTCCTAAACATCATTTTATGTTACATTACCCGTCTTGTATTCGAAAAATTGGACCGTTAATACATATGTGGAGTAGGATATTTGAGGCAAAACACACGGTTTTCAAAAGCACACTAAAAAACTTCAAGAACATCACTGTATCACTTGCCAAAAAACATTAAATGTCGATAGCGGCCAATTGGGAAACCTCTTCTTTGAACCATATTGAGTATGGACCTTTGAAAACATTTAATGTGGACAATGAGGAAAGTGGTGAAATGTTTGCCCAAGCCCTGCCCGCTGTATCAAAAGACATCTTCTCTACTAACTGGGTAAAGATCAGCGGGGTAGAGTACAGAGCCGGGTTAGTCATTTTCAGTGGTACAGAACAAGAAATGCCTGTGTTTTGCAGAATAAAAAACATACTTTTAGTCAACAGTGTGATCTACTTCATAGTGAATAAGCTCATGGTTGACCATTTCAGTGAGCACCTTCATGCCTACAATGTGTTTGAAAGTGATGAAAAAAATGTGATGAAAGTAGACAGTCTTCAAATTTATAAGCCTTTTGACTTACAAAGTGCTTATGGTGGAGATGATAGCCTTTATATTGTACCATTATGTTCTCTGTAAGTGTGCATAGAGTTCAGTTGTATGGTGCTTGGATATTTGTAATTAAAAAAGATTAATTCATTGAATGTTTGTTTTTTCTGGTAGTGAAAAAGCATGTTCAGAACATCAAATGTGACACAACTGTCATGAATACACTTTAGTGTAAAATAACACTGAATGATTTAAATTAACACTTTTAAGAGTAAGGGAGTAACACGATTTAGATGTAAAAATACACTTTAAAGTGTCATCAAATAACACTGTGAATGTTAGAAATTAACACCCTCAGTGAAAAGGAATAACCCCAGTTTAGTGTAAAAATTACTCTTAAATGTGTTAAGAAACAACACTCTAAGTGTTACATTTTTAACACTATTATGGAGTTAAAATATTAACACCGTCCAAAGTGTTTATTTAACTCTGAACTGGTGAGGATTATATAAACTCAGGGAAAGTGTTAAATTTGACTCTATGGGAGTTGAATTAACACTGACGTTTTTGCTGTGTACATGCCTGTGTACCATTAAAAACATTGATAAAGCTCATAATCTTTTCAAATGTTTGATCATGTACTCATGGACATATTTATTTTCAGAATGAGTTGATGAGACAAATGATTACTGTACGTGCAATGGTTGGACCTGAGTGCAGATTTTGACCCATTACACAATTCAGAATATATTTTCTATAAATAGATCTGGTTTGTGTGTGTGAGTGTGTGTGTTTCCATACCTGTTTGATAATACTCTTGACACATGCCAGAGGCAGACCTTGGTATTTGGATTTGATAATCCACTTCAGCAGGTGGTGACCTAGCACTTCAAACACCATACACACATCTGGTACGGAGAGTCAAGGACTCACATTATTACATCACTGTCAATCACACACACACACACGCTCCTCCGATTGGGATACGTATGCCGTTGGCTCCAGAGATCTTGAAATCATCTGTCAGCTGAACCACCATGTCCTTGTTGGGGTCGGCGGGGTCGCTCTCCCTCACCTAAAGCACAGGAGGACAGAAAGACGAAGCTAACATGACTGAAGAGAATAGAAGATCAAAGTAGGATCAAGAAACAAGGAAAAAGGAAAGGAGGACACCAAGACAGGAAAGACAAAAAAGAAAAGAAAGAGCAGATGGAATAAAGATGCTGAAAGATTGAGTCTAAGATGACTGTCCTCTGCCTCCACCATGCAAGATAAATGACAAGTGTATTTCTGTCTCTTCTTGTTAACAGAGGAAGAAGAGAGGCGAGATGCAAGGTTTGAGAAGGGAGGAAAGAGGGAAGAACAGGAGGAGACATATCAGGAGGGTGAAAAGAGATGAAGAAAACAATGATGAGAAAAAGTCAGAAAGAAGGAAAACCCCAAAATAAAATAAATACAAATAATAACATTCACAAAACCATTCAAACTAATCAGATCCTCACACATTGCAGCAGTTTTATCTCATCCAGGGCCGTCTCTGTGTAGTGCTGCGCGCTCTTCACCACCTTCATCGCCACAAAGTTTTTCACTCTGTGATGACAAGCGCAGATACATATAGTCATTTTCCACCAATAGGAGGGTTAAAGCCAGTAATGCACATTAATTCACTGCATGAAAAGTGAGATTTTCGTCCCCGTAAACGCCCGGAAATCTCCCTAATTTCCGACAATTTCCGACAATTTGCAACCCGCGCACGTCGTGTTTGTCTGTGCCACAAATTGTCGGAAACGAACCATGACGTATGCTGTTACGTCTCCCTTAGTCTAGGTGTAAGGGAGCGCAACCCCCGCAAACATGAGCCCTGATGAACGCGGCGACCAGAGGTATGGGGTCGTGGTGTGAGTGACGACTACTGACACAGCCGTAAACGGTGTAAACAAAATAGGAGGTTTATTCTCTCCTTAAAAGGAAAAACCAAACAAATGTTCAGGGGAAAAGGGACTGGGCGAGACCAAAGCAAAGAAACAAGCAAAAAGGGTGAACACTTCCCTAACTGACCTAATTCCCCCCCCCCCCCCCCCTTTACTCTACCTCGGGCACGGATGAGGCCCGCTAACCAAAAGTACAGGGAGTGGTCCGCCCAGGTCTTGCCTAGTGTATCTAGACAGGCAGTCAGCTACGGGTGGTGTATACCCATGGGTCTCTTCCCTAACAATATCCCCTTTTCCCCCCCGCAACACAGGAAGAAAAATGTTTAACTCAAATAACCAACAGTATACAAAACAAATGTAACATACACACTAACCCAAAGAGCCCACGCTCTGGGACTACCTTTTAACAAACAAACTCACTCTCTCTCTCTCTCTGAATAAGATACTCACAAACCCCAACGACGGAAATAAACACAGAACCAGGAGAGAGGACACCAGCGAGCCACCCGAAGCGCTCTGCCATCAGAGCTGCAGAACCCTCCCCTCAAAGATCTACAATGACAGGTCTTTATAGACCTGCACCAGCTGCATCCAATAATGAAGGGGAGGAGTCCAGGTCGGTCGTATCCAATCGGCTGCACCTTGGGTGAAGGGTAGCCATCTTGCCTGCAGATTTCCTGTACATGGAGAGACAGGACACAAACCAACACAAACACCCCCAAAACGTAACATATGCGGAGAACTGGCGGAGGTGCGAATGGCCCTTATTAGCATATGAATGCAGCGAAACCGCGGGTGGCCGAGCCGAGCGGGCTTGAATATCCTTACTCCTTATTGGATGAAACCACAACTTACTAACAAATAAAATCACTCGTGATTGGCAGCAAAACCACACCTGGGCAGACCAGGCTTGAGTTTCCTTGTTCATGATTGGATGAAACCACAACTTTCAATCACTCGTGATTGGTTGGCAGATCTGTCGCTATTGGTCACCCGCCTCATTTTATTTATATATTCATATTATGCTGTATATTCATTTCATGGTTATCCTATGTAGGCTACTACACTATTATTGGGATACCAACCAGGACATCAATGACTTTATAGAGAAAATGAACATTTGACACATGTTTATGCAAAGAAAGAGCTTTATTAACAACACACAAACAACAACTACATACAAAGTGAAGATCTGCCCACACTTGGGTAAAGGCGGTTTAAAAACTACAGCTCAGTAAACTGTCCGTTTGCCTCCTCGGGGTTGTAGACCGTCACTGGCGCCGTGTTTTCCGAGGCAGGTCTGTTGTGCAGGCGGCTCGTGTGCGGGGCGACCGTACAATCCACCCGAGACCCCGCCAACAACGCCATCCTCTCCGTCCGACGTGAGCTCTACGGTGGCGGATTTCCAGAGTTCCACCTCGTCATCAGCCAGCACACTTTGTCTCGATTCCAGCAGCTGTAAAAACTATTTATCAGTACTGTGCGATGCGATGCGTAGGGACACAACACACGATCAATGCACCTGAAAAAAGTCAGCAAATAAACTCTGACCCTCTTTCTTCTCACTCGACTCCGCGCTGAATCCTTCGCAGCTTCCGCCCGCAATGAGTGTTCCGGCTGAACCTGAAGCTCCTGCGTACCGTCTCACAATACGTCTCACAGGGAGCTTGAAAACAATTAAATGAGTGTGGTATGAATACAAAAAAAAATCAAACGCAAGTCACAGTAAGTAAGTAAGGAGAAACAGTAAACGGCGATACGAGGTCACCGCCTCATTATGAGGCGAGATTAGTCTGTGAAAACAAAATGTACAGTTATGATCGGTATCCATCATATGGTATCTATACGTATATATTCCCTTATAGGGCAGAATGAAAGCATATTCTTTAAATCTTACCCTTGCTCCGGTTCGTAGCGCCTGTAATTCGTCTCGGAGTTGTGAAGACGGCGCACCGCTTCCTGTAAACGACACGGCAAAGAAAATACACTTTAATAAAGCTGTTTCTGCTCACTTGTAAGGCTACTAGGCTACTCTTAGCTTTCGTTTGAGGCTATGCTAATTTTAGCTTAGCCTGCAGTCATCAAACGTATTCTTACCGCTATCTTGGGATTGTGCGCCTGTCTCTTCTTTGAGTCAGTTCCTCTCCTCTATGGACAGAAACCCACAGAGTCCCGAACGCTTCAGTGGAGCGAACCGCTAGTTGATATCGGCAGTTTGTTGTTGGAGATGGCGAGACGATCCACTGAGAGCATTCAGCAGCTTCTTCTCGTCTGTCTGCGGACGGGCCGAAAGTTGGTGACCGCGGAGAGTAGTTGAAGGCGAGTTGAGCGCGAGACGTCGTCCAGCCATTATTCACGAACCAGCAAAAAACAAACAAAGGAACTGGAGATACAGTTCTTCTGAATATAGTAACACACACGTGTCTGTTTGTATGCTCGTCTTGCAAGTACTGCTGTATCAGTCATGCCTATGACCTCACACGTGATTGGACGAGGCGTCTAAGGATCCTCCAATCACATACGAGGTTATTGTTATACGGAAGGACCAGTATTTTAGGAAGACAAATGGTTGGGACTTTGAAACAGCTGATATGCTTTATGTAAAGCAGTGTTTTGGTGTCAGCAGAACGACTTTCCCTAGAAATCTGTACAGTGGTGCCTCTTTCTCCATTCCACCAGACAATCCTGGGATGAGTCTGACATACATGCAATGTTGACAATGTATCATCAGATGTACCCTTGTGTCACTGAGGTTGAATGTTTTGCCATGACATGTAAACGGGTAACATATATGAATGTAACTTACTCAATCGATAGATGCAGAGCAGAAAGGTCAGCATATGTTCATGCTAAGTGGTGTGGAAACACTAACAGTTTTGAGGAACCCATCCTTGACCCTCTAGCAGAACTATGACCAGCCATTATAAAGCAGTTTATAGTTGTTAATGTTGTGTCAAAGGGTACGGCATTTAAACATGTTCTTGCACAAGTTTCCTGGCTTCATCTCCACCCGGACAGACATTTTTATGGAAAGCCAATAGAAGTTTGGGGCTTGCAGGGAACAGACACGTCATACCCAGCATCATTTCTGCTAGTTGAGCGCATTGCTACAAGATGTGTGGTTAATACATCCTCTGTGCATTTAAGTAAGACCAGATTTATTTGTACCAGAGATTTTCTTACCTTTTAAAAAAATGTCACCTGGGCTAAAACTCCCTCTGCGACCCTGATTTGCGTTTGTATAGCTCACAGCATTTTCATTTACATGTCAAAGCCTCCCCTGGAATTAGGAGGAGGGGGGTCATGGGGGGACAACTGCCAGGGGAGGCCCACATCAATTTCTGACAATTTACGGCAGTTTTCGGCGTTGCCCGCAAATTGCCGCAAACCTGAAATTCTACGACAATTTACAGTGCCGCATACTGCCGAAAATCCCACTTTTCATGCAGTGATGTGCATCTCAGTATCTGAGACCAATCATTCTTTCTCTCACATGCTTACTCATAACATCCTTGCTGTTACAGTTTTAGGAGCTATAAGTTGTGATATCACCTCTTCTCCTCAGCTGGTCTTAGTCATCCAACAGCATAGCATCACAATTTGTACATTATTTGTATATCATTTTACTGCAAGTATTTGAAGATTCATTATCCAGCTTCAGCCACCATCGCTACGTGGTCACAATATACGAGGAGATTTATCTAAATCTATCTACGAACCCCCTTTTAGAGTAAAAAGCTTTCGTTAACACTTTACTTTAACATATCGTCTTATCCAATAAACAATTATCCTGTCTTTATTCACTTCTAACTCAGGGTTGAAATGTTTTTGATTATCAAGATTTGTCTACACGTTTCTTTACGTAAGTCCATCTATCAGTCATGTGACTTGGGAATACAGGAATACCCAACAACCAACAATGAAGTTGGTTCAAAAGTGAAAGTTTTTTCAACGTCTATTCGTAGACGTTGAAAAGACGTTCACGTATAGACCAGTTTTCAACGTGTTTTATAATATCGGTGGTAAACTTACAAATGCGGACATACTTTCCTTTTAAACATCTAATAAACTGATATAGCACAAAGTAGAGGACGAACTATTACCATATAAAAAAGCACGTTAAAATCTGGTCTAAACATAGACGTCTCTTTTCAACGTCTACGAATAGACGTTGAAAAAACGCTCACTTTTAAACCATTTTGCAACGTCTTTTCAACGTCGGGCATAGATGTCTTTTCAGAATCTTTTCAACCAAAAAATGTTCACCGGGTAGTGCCGGTGTGTTGTCTATTGCTGGGGACTTATGTATGTTCTATGTTTCTGTTTGTAGGTTATTTACCTAATTGCTGATTGGCTAATTGCTATTGAAATGCTTCAAATGCTGCTTACCTGAAAATAAAGGAAAAAGAAGTGGAAATGTATCTATTGCCTTGGACTCAGTCAGTCAGTTTCAGCAATTTGAGTGGAATCCAGTGAATCTAAAATCTCCATGTAGATAAATTTCAGTCCCTTTTTCAAGTTGGGGAAACATACATCATGTAAAAAACTCAACTTGACAGACAACTTGACAGTGTGTGTGTCATGGAAAGTTAACACTGGGTTGATGAAACCTTCATCAAGACACCCTGGTTGCCACGAGAACACATCAACAACATTACA